GTGGAACAAAATTTTTACCTATCTCCCCCCCTTTAGAAGTTATACCCCCCCAAAACCCTAAAAATGCCATTCTTTAACTATTTAGTGCAATGAAACCATAAGGATTTTTCAAATTTTGCAAACGCAGAAAGGCAGTGGCTTACTTCCCCTAGCGGGGTATACTAAAGGTTAACTTTAGAAAAACAAAATGGCCGCTCAAATTTACCGTTATCTAAAGTCCGTTTTTTCCAAATTTTTGATGTCGTTTATTTTCTAGACCCCAGCCTGTAGAAGCTTGAAATTTAGTGGGCTTTTAGACATTAACAAATAGTTCATTTCGTTAGAAGAAAATTTTTTTCCATCTCCTTCCCCTCTCAAGTTATGGCCTCTTGAAATTTGTAAAATTTGAATTTTTGACACCTTATATTTCCGAAACCGCAAGCTTTTTCAAATTTCTATAAACATAAAAAGCTAACGGTAAATTCCATGAAATTAAAAAATATAATTATTTTTCTTAACTCACATAATTAAACCTTAAAATCGAGCATTATGTTAACCCCTTTTTATATTAATTTTTGCTTTATTTCAAACACTGCATATATGCGTCATCCTAAATATATGCAATTCTAGAAATAGTTTTGTATATGAATGAAAATAATTTTAATAGTTTGATAGGTATACATAGACTGTATTTAAAAGCAGAATTTTCACTTGCTGAAGGGAAAAGTGCTACAATACAAACCATTGGTTTGACCCAACTTTATTAAAATTAAATTTTAGTAGGAAACCTTAAAAAAAAAGCTTATTTCATAGAGTCTCAGGATATGATTAAAAAATTCTATTACCCCTTTAGTTTTTTTGTATATTTCAGTATTTTTGTTTTCCTTTTTTGAATATTTTGTCCTTTTTTTTAAATAATTTTAATTTTGGTGAATGGAAAAGCAAAAAAAGAAGAGAAAATATTGGACAAAAAGGACGCATTTTGTAGTTTTTTTTTACTTTGCGCTTAATATTCTCAGTTTTAATCTAAATGAAGTACTAGACATTCTATGAAACAAGAAAAATAGGAAAACTTACCGCACAAGTATTGTCGTATTATTTGAAAACTCATGCAGGAGTATAAAATAAAAAAATTGACTGTTATTCAACAATATTCCAGTTTGGGAAAATTTCCTACAATTTTTCATATGTACCGTGAAAAAGTGTGTACTAACATTTTTTTTTTTAATACTTTTCTATTATTCACATAGTCTTTTGATAATAATGTAATGGTAGCAATTAGTAGCGTATACTGTAATTAAGATTTAATGTAAAATAACGTACCGCATTTTCAATTTGTGCAATTTAAGAAAATTCGCGGCGATATAGAAAATTATCAATTAAAGTTAATAAATAAACTCCGATTATAAATGTGATTCTAACTTATTTTCATTTACTTTTATATAAAATTAATGGTTTTCATTATTGAAAAAGCGAAATAACTACTGATAAGATTAACTATTCAATGGCTAGTACACAAGACATTCGAGAAGAAAATAGAAAAACTTAGAGAAATAATTTTCTAGTTTTGAAAGTATGGTCCATGTTTTCAATTTTATCCACCCAAAATTAATTGAAAACATTTAATGGAAATTTTAAATATACATGTAAAACTTGGACAAAAAAGACCTTTGCATTTTCTCTACTTGAGAGAAAATAAAAAGGTTATCAGTAACTCTTACTTTAACAACAGACATTTTATTGTCAGAAAAGTTCGTAAACCCTCATTATAAAAATATAAAAATAAATTTAAGAAAATTAGATTTATCGTTGTTTTTTTTTAAAGCTGTTTTTTGAAGCAAGTTAGTCGAAAATAGTCAGTACATATACTTACTCTGACCCAGTGAAATATACAAGAAGAAAAGTTATATGACTTCCTACATCTTACAATAAAAAAATAATATATTTTTCATTTAATAATAATGAAATTAAGTATTTAACAAAGGAAAAATCGACACCTCGAAATGTAAATTTCAGGACAAAATCTTAAAAGTATTTGCAAACAATGACAATTTAATGCTATACGTTATCAATTAATTAGGGGTTTTTTTACAGTATTATAGAAATTGAAATATTCTAAGATATGTAGAAAAAATTTAAAATTGAATAAATTTAAAAAAAAAATTTATTCAATGTTGCTTTGGCCTGATTAACATTTTCCAATCCGAATCTTGAATACTTAAGGCAAGATAGTATAGTCGATATTTTAATTAACTAAAATACATTTTAAATTTATTTTACAATAGTGTTGGCAAACCTCAGGTTTAGATAGTAGCAAATCTTCATAATATTTTTAAAATAATTTTAATAGAAAACTCAAATACCTTTAGAATTAAATAGTAAAAATACTTTCAATAGTGAATTTATAAAAGAATTAAAATAACCCTCCTATTTCCATTTAATGTTGTTGCATACGTTAATAAGAAAGCTGAGGCAGAGTCAAGTTGTTTAATTTATTTAAATTTAAAGGGTTCTGGATAAATAGTATAGATAAAGGTTTTTGTTTAAATAAAGAACTCTCAAAAATTTGTACTATTCCAAGATTCGACAATTCTTCTTAAAGTTAAAGAAAACCCGTAAGTACTAAAAAAGAGCAGTTCTAGACGATGAGATAGATCAACGGAATTTTTACAGGCATTTCTTAAACTTTCTTTTGTCAAATAACATAACCTTTTTACACCCTGCACTTCGTAAAGGGTATATTAACTTTGGTATGGAGTTTGTAACTACTTGAAGGAGTCATCTGCGCTATGGACATATATATATATTCTTGCTCAGCGTAAAATTCTGCGTCGATTTAGACATGTCCGTCTGTCCGTCCGTCCGTCGTCCGTCCGTCCGATCGCACGATAACTCAAAAACGAATAATGCAATCGACACCAAACTTTCACAAGTTTTTTCTTTTGTGCCAAGGACGAGCCCTATTGTTATTGGACTAATTCGGACAAAGGGTTCGGGTAGCTGCCATACAACTCAAAGAGTTTATTTTAAATATTTCAAAAACTAATAAAGCTATAAATATAAAATTTTGTATACATGTGTCCAATTATATTCTACACATGCTCTAAAAATTATAATGGGATAGCTGCACCGGTTCGGGTAGCTGCCATACAACTCCAACAGCAAATTCGGAATATTCGGAAAAATAATAAAGTCAGATTCATGAAACTTGGCAGTCATGTGTCCAATTATAGGTCAAATATATTTCTGAAGTTTTAGGGGAATTGCTTGACAGGTTCGGGTACCTGCCATACAACTCCAGAAGCTAATTTTAAATATTTGGAAAAATAATAAAGTCAGATATATGAAACTTGACAGTTGTGTGTCGAGTTATAGGCCAGATATATTTCTGAGGTTTTAGTGGAATTGCTTGACAGGTTCGAGTAGCTCCCATACAAGTCTAAAAGCTTATTTTAAATATTTGGAAAAATAATAAAGTCAGATTCATGAAACTTGGCAGTTGTGTGTCCAATTATAGGTCAGACATATTTCTGAAGTTTTGATGGAATTGCTTGACAGGTTCGGGTACTTGCCATACAACTCCAAAAGCTTATTTTAAATATTTGGAAAAATAATAAAGTCAGATTCATGAGCTTTGGCAGTCGTGTGTCCAATTATAGGTCAGATATATTTCTGAAGTTTTGATGGAATTGCTTGACGGGTTCGGGTACTTGCCATACAACTCTAAAAGCTTATTTTAAATATTTGGAAAAATAATAAAGTCAGATTCATGAAACTTGGCAGTTGTGTGTCGAGTTATAGGTCAGATATATTTCTGAAGTTTTGGTTAAACTGCTCTACAGCTACGAGTAGCTCCCATACAAGTCCAAAAGTTTTAATATTTGGAAAAATAAAGTCAGATTCATGAAACTTAGCAGTCGGATGTCCAATTATAGGTCAGACATGTCCGTGAAGTTTCTATAGAATGATTACACAGGTTTGAGTAATTGCTATACAACAACGAAAAGTGCAGGGTATAATTCAATCGGTTTATACCGACTGAAACGTTTTTACTTGTTTAAAGAACATTTTAATCGGGATTTTCATGAGAGTTACCTTATAAATTCCTATAAATTAAGTAATTTATTCAATATCAATCATTTACGTGATAGACAGATTTAGTTAAATTAAAACCAAAAATTTCGTAAATTTTCCGACCTTCAGGATTCTGAAAATATGAATCCTGAATTTATCAAAAATATGAATTCAGGATTCATATTTTTTTCCGCGAGTAAATAAGTTGAAAATAATAATGACGGTGTTTTTTTCTGCCGGGAAAACAAAACTTAATTCCGAAATTAAAGGGTTCAATTTCTCTCCAAGAAAAAAAACTGATCTCGGACCACTTTGTTGCGAGATTCCGACAGAAACCTTTTTAAAGCGATGAAAACCAATTGAAGTTTTTTTATGGTAAATAGAAATTAAATTCAACTTGTGCCATTTGCACATAAAAGCACAGATAGACTGTTAATTGAAAATTACAACAATATTTTTTTCTTTATAAATTTGGAATAGTAAATTGAAAATCTTTACACTATTCTTTGGGTTCACTGATTTTAAATACGGGATTAGTATCAAATGCTAATTCAACCATTTTATGCATAAAAAGAAAAAAAGATTGAAGTAAAAAAATCGAAATCCACTAATCTTTAGTAGAATATTAAAGAGGACAAAAAAATCGCACGTTTAAGGATTTTTTTTTTTGAAATGAGGCTTATTTGTTCGTTTTCTTTTGAATAATGCTAAAAAAATTTGAGAAAAATGTTTATTTTAAATTCACTTTAGCATTTTGTGTGTCGATCTCTAAGCAAAACCTCGCACCATGGTAGAAAACTGAAACTTCACAGGCAAGTAGATATTTGTGAGTGAATTTTCGCCTCTGAACAAAATTCTTACTTTAAGTTTTTGGAAAATTAAAGACATGTAAATTTTGTAGTAGACTTTTTAATATTTAATATTTAAAACAAATTTATTATTTTCAGGCTTGCTCAGTGATTGAATTATATGGTTACCTAAATCCTGATACAAGAGACTGGTTCGATGGTTTATTTTCAAATATATTTAGGGATATGAATAAACCAATAGACAAAGAGGTAAGAAATACATTTTTATTTTGATTTAATATTAAAAATTTATGAAATTGTTTTAAAATAAGCATAAAAATAGAAATTCGACATTGTGGACTGCGATTGGTAATAAAATAATGTTTGGTAACAAAAACTTGATATATAGCGCATGTTTTATATGTGTTATATGCAATTTTTTAATACAAAGCAACTTCAAGATATTTTTACAATTAAAGATTATTTGATTATAACCTAAGAATTAAGTGCGGAAAGCCTTATTGAAGCCTTATTGAAGCTCTTTCGCTAAATTGAGTTATAATACAGCTTCCCGTTGCATTAATCTCGTTCTGTAAAACACAAAATTAAAACCATTTAAAACTGCTGTCGGTCATTGATATTTCGTTTCAAACTAGGATCGAAGCATCTTAAAGTTATTACTAAATATTTTAAATTTGAACTGATTGACTTTATTGTTCTAAATAAGCAACAAATTATACATGCATTTTTGCATATTTTTAGGCAAATAAAAAAAAATTCTGAAAAATTAAAAACACAGACTCAACTTTACTTATGAATAAGCAACAAATAGTTTTTTATTACTTTATTTTTTTTTATTTTGCAGTAAGTTAAAAAATTAATTAAATCTTTTTTTTTCCTCTTTTTTCCACATTTTCAATAGCACATATTTTAAAGTAAGACATTATCCTTTATTACAAATTAATAACACTGTTTTTTTTTTTCGCAGTTTTTCCCTTTTTTTTTTAAATATTTCATTTTAAATGGTGGTTTAAAATATCACCCACATAAACCGACAGATTATCTTTTATCAATATTTTAATGATTTTTATTTTTCCATAAGAAAAAAAACACAAAATAATAATAAAAACGAACAAGGACAACAAAAAAAAAAAAACTCAACCTTGCTTTAACATTTTATTAATTTGTATATGTTTTCATTAAAAAACATTCACTTTTGATTGATGATGGAAAAGTATAAAATGTGAAAAAAGTATAAAAATCATAAAAAGATACTTGTTAATTTTCATTTTTGTTAAAAAAAATAATGTTATTTAACAACACAGTGTATGTATGTGATATATCAAAAAATATGCAAAAAAAAAATAAAAATCCCAACGAAACAGGACTGAATAAATTTATTCCTCAGTGATGTGCAGTTTAAATATGGGATTTATTAATTTATTACTTAAAATTTAAAATTATGTCCTAGACGTAAATACCAAAATTCTGAATTTAAAATTTTATCAAGTTGTTCGATTTATTGAATTTAATACAGAAAATTGACTTAAATTTGTCTTTTTGCCTTTAAATATTAACAGGATCAGTTTAATTTTTATAATAACTGTTCGAACAAATTTAACACTTGTATATTATTATCATGACGAAATTGCTTTTACTATAATTTCGAAAATTAAGTAAAATGAAAATTTAACAAATTGATACAGATTGTCTTAAGTCTTTTGTCATTGACTTTTTAATTAACTTATGTTATAAAAACGGATTTATGCTTTTACGAGTACCTATATATTGTTACATTTTGGATATTAAGAATAACTTTTTAATATAATAATATGTATAAGAATATGTAAATTAAAAATAAATAAGAATAGAAGACTATTATAAGTGCTGCCATTATATGGCAACATTCTCAAAATATTTTTGAAACAAAAGGTGATTTAAAGCAAATAAATTTTATTATTATCAAAAATTTTTATTGTTATTTGAACTATTAAAATTTTATATTTGTGTAGCTTATGCACTAAATAATAAGAAATTAAAGTTCACAATGATTTTTTGAGTATAAACCTTTGTTATATAACAGTTAAAATAATATTAGTTATCACTTTATTAGATAAGTAGAGTGTGACTCCTAAAATATTACTTATTGGGTTTCATGCTTTTTTATAAATTATTTCTTAGATAAATTTTCAGGAACATTTTCTGGAAGAAAAATATTTAAGAACAGTAAGTGATTATAAAAGAACATAATTTTGTATTATTGTACAATTCTACTATTTTACTTACATTTAAAAAAATATTATTTTACTATTATTAAATATTAGGATATTTAATTTCTCTATATAAATAATGTTTTAATAAATTTTAATATATACGTCACTGGGACCAAAAATAAATAATTCCTGAGAGATGGATAGTAGCTTAATTTATATGTAAACAAGTTTTTATTTTCGGTTTATATTTTATTTATTTTATTTATTGCTGATATAAACGTTTGATTTGCAAGTTTTCCATCATATTTTTCTCCTCTATCTCTGTTTTTTTTTCTCTCTTAAAGGCGTACATCTAACAAAAAAAAACACGAGTGGAGAGAAAGAAAAAACTCTTTTGGGAAAAATTTGATTCTCATTTCAAACAAACGAAAACATTTTTCAATTGTTCTTTGTTGTTTTTGTTTTTTATAATATTTTTTTAATATAAAAACATGTTTAATTTCTTGTCTTATGAAGTGAATGACCCATTTAGAATATGACTTTGTATATTTTATTGCTTTTGTAATAAATTAACTAAGTATTTCCAGTAATTGACAAGTTTCCAAGAATGAGTCCTAGATTTAGAATTGTACTAGTAGTAAAAGAGGTTGCGTTACTTCTTTCGCCAATACCTAACAGTAAATCAACAGAAAACTCAGCTAGAACTACGTACATTCTACGAAATTTAGAATTTTTTTATTAAATCGAAAATATTTGATTCCGAAATCAAGTGTCATAATTTTACTTTCTCTACATTTAAATTTGGCAGTAGAATCCGCACGTACCCCCTTCATCCTGGCAATATCTACAAAAATCCTTACAAATCCGCAACGTACATTCTTCATCCTGGTAATCTCTACAAAAATCCTGTAAACCGATTCCATGATTTCGAAACTATGAGTGATTTTAAAAGCGACAATTACAAATCTTTATACGATTCACTTCGCAGATTGAAAGAGATGATTGTAATGAATTCCTACGCATGGAAGTATAAGACTGAGTTTTGCAAATTTTAAAAAATTAGTTGCGTGTGTGTAAAGAGGATTTTATTATTGAGAGTTTAAAAATAATTTTATAAGTATAACAATATTCGTATCTTATCTGCTGGTTTAATAGCATTTAAATGAACAATACAATTTCAACTTAAAGAATAAAATAAATTTGCTGTTAAAAAAATTTTAGTAATTAATGCTCATCAGGTTATTTATAAATTTTATAGTTTTGATAGAGATTTGAAGCAAAACTGGATTAAAAGTTACAGATTTTTCAATTAATATAGGATTTTCTCTATGTTTAATTTAAGTTTGTCAAATACAACTCATACCGAAATTTAGATACGTTTACATATGACGTATACACATGAAAGGCTAATTGTTAATCAAATATTTGTTTAAGAATTTTGGAAATTTTACAATTTTCATTTGGTTTACATTTTGAAAATTTCGGAAAAAAGAACGCATTTCATGAAAATGAATTGGAAAATTTTATTTCTTTGAAATAATTAGCCTTAGGATTTTTAGGATCAACCGAATTTTTCATTATTTTATGTATAAAATACTTTTTTTTTTTGGTGGTTTTCTTTTTATAGAAACATAAAAAACTTCCACAATTATTCAACTTCTCATCACTCACAAAAAAATAAATTGTTGTTTTTCTTTTTTTTCACATACATTTTTAAATTTTTTTTTTATATAAAAGGAATTTTTTTTTGAATTTTTCAAAATAAAAAAAAAATCGAAAAAAGGAATACAATAAAACCATATAGGAGAAAAAAATGCGAAACCGTTAAACAAATATGTCTATGTGGAGTTGCGTGTTTTTAATTTTTTCCCATTCTCTTTTTTTTTTTCAAACTGCTTCTTCCTGTTTATTTTTTTTTGTTGCCGTTTGTTCAAGATTAATGTGTTTGGCAAAATTTTCTTTATGTGCATGCAGTAATAATATTATGTATTTATACATGTAATGTATAGATATTTGAAATTTAATTTACAGGGTGTCCCATACAGTTTTCTTGAAATATGAGGGATAGAAATGGTAGAAAAAGAAAAATAGTTTGGCAATAATGGAAAATTAGTAGCCATTTCAAGTAAAAGGTATTTAATCTATTCAAATTTTTGTTATGGCTTGACTTGGCAGAAGAAGTAATTAGCATCTAATTATTGTGGTTTCTGGTATCAAAAAAAATTTTATGCTTTTATGAACAAAATTTTCTTTTTCATCACAAATTGGAAATTATTTGATTTTCCTAAAATTGTTGCTACATAACCACATTGACAGCAATTTTCCACATGAACTTAATTTCTTGTCATATTAGTATTAACTTTAAGCTAAATGCATATTTTTGTAATTTCAAATAAAAAATTATTATGACATACAGAAAACTAATACATTTTAAGTAATTAATTTATAACTCAAAACAAATGACATGTCTAATTGCATATTTATCTCTTAATAGTATTTTAGAAGTCAAGGACATTTTCAATAATTCAGTTCTAAGTCAGATCTTGATATAAAGCACGTTTAATAAAATCCAAACTGTTAATAAAAACTACATTTGCGGTTAGAGTTCAAAAGGAATTTTTAAGCTTTTTTAAAACTACTGCAAAGATATTATTATTCTAAATAAGAAGAATGAGCATAAAAGAAAAATATTGGATATTTTAGAATTACGCTTCTTATATTCAGTTTCTGCAGATATCTAAGTCTGTGTGAAAAGACTTTTATGATTTAATTTAAAATTATCGCAAATCCCCCATTTTAGAATCAAAATTAAATTTCCATTAACTTTGCATATATTTGGGGGCACACCCTATATAGATATTATTTTGAAATTTTTGTATTATGCGTGGTTCGCTAGAAAACAAGAAGAAAAAACAACACAAAAACACAAGAAAACAATTTAAAAATTCTACTGTAGAATTACAAACAAAAAAAAATGTTTTAATAGGCTTTCATTGGTATACAAACTATGACAGACAGGCAGATGACAGGCAAGATGTTACCATATTCGTTTAACATTTTCCTTTCATCTATATATTTTTATTTTATGCTTTTTGTACGTCCTTTTTTTTGCATTTTTTATTATTGTTTCTTTTAGTTACACAATAAAAAAAAACAAAAAAAAATTCACAAGTGTAAATTGATGTTTTATTAATATTTAATGTGTGTGTATTTTACTTTAAATAATGTGAAAAAGGAGGAATAAAAAATATTAAATAAAAAATTTATAATACATTTTTGGCACATTTAATTTATATTTGATTTTCTTCATTATAATTTATCAAATAATTTAATTGCTCATTTATTCAATATAAATTCAATATGAACAATTGTTTAATAAATAAGTAATGTTAATTAATTTGAAATTTTAAAAATACAAGTTTTGTATATTAATTTTTTTAATTACATTAGAATTAAGGTTATTGTTTTTAATTTAAATTTAAATTGTCGTGCAGCAATTATTTGCTTACATATGTATATCAACTAGCATCGTGGGCAGAACGGAAAATTTTCGCGGTCTGTAGAAAACCGACATTTCTTTTGAAAAATCGGCACGTTTTTGAAATACTCACGACATCCACCATGAGAACTACAAATTTATTAATGTAATGTTAGTAATTACTGCATATTGCTTTTTGAAATTAAATAAAGTTGGGTCAAACCAATGGTTTGTATTGTAGCACTTTTCCCTTCAACAAGTGAAAATTCTGCTTTTAAATACAGTCTACGAGTATGTATACCTATCACACTATTAAAATTATTTTCATTCATATACAAAACTATTTCTAGGATTGCATATGTTTAGGATGAACGATTTATGCAGTCTTTGAAATAAAGCAAAAATTAATATAAGCAGGGGTTAACGTAATGCTCGATTTTAAGGTTTAATTGTATGAGTTAAGAAAAATAATTATATTTTTTAATATCATGGAATTTACCGTTAACTTTTTGCGTTTATAGAAATTTGGAAAAGCTTGCGGTTTCAGAAATATAAGGCGGCGAAAATGCAAATTTTACAAATTTCAAGAGGCCATAACTTGAGAGGGGGTGGAGATGGAAAAAAATTTTCTTCTAACGAAATGAATTATTTATTAATGTCTAAAGCTGCTAAAATTTCAAAGTTCTACATTATGGGGTTTAGTAGAAAAACGAGATCAAAAATTTGGAAAAAAAGGACTTTAGATAACGGTAAATTTGAACGGCCATTTTGTTTTTCTAAAGTTTAGCTATAGTATACTGCGCTAGGGGAAGGAAGCTACTGCCTTTCTGCGTTTGCAAAATTTCAAAAATGCTTATGGTTTCATTGCAACAAATAGTTAAAATAGGCTATTTTTAGTGCTTTGGGGTGGTATAACTTCTAGAGGGGGGGAGATAGGTAAAAATTTTGTTCTACGAAAATAAGTTTCTAGTAAAGATCTATGTACGTATTAAATTTCAGCTTTCTATCTTTAAGAATGTAGAAGTTTTGTAAACAGACACACGGACGGACGGACGGACGGACAGAGTGAAACTAATAAGCACTTTTTTCAAAAAATTTTTGGAAAAGTGCTAAAAAACTACAATTTACTTACTACATACATAGAATTACCAAGTTCAACCTTATGCTCATAAACTAAGTAATGTCTATTAATTGTCAGCACGCATGAACAGCTACTTTATGAAACTAAACAGTTTTAACAATCTCATTTCTGAAATTCAAGTAATAATAGTTCTAATTTGCAAGATAATTAATAAAAAATGAAAAATATAATAACCATAGTAACCCTTTATTGTCTCATTTCTTGTTCGAATATGTTTGTTTCCCAATATGCATGTTTCCTATCACATTTGGGCATTTCGGTTCGCATTTTTTGATTTTTCGTTTTTTGGAAAAAACTCTAGGAATCTGTTATATACAAAAAATTAAAAAATGTTAAAAAATTTTTTGGAAGTCTTTTGAACCCTGAACTCGTTACATTTATATCTCCAATTAAAACCACATGAACCTGAAATAAAATTTTGTGTACGATTTGTTTTAAATGTGCATAATTTTTATTTTGTTGATTATATGTGATTTTTAATTTATCTGGCTTGAATAATGATGTATAAGTAGTTGGTTGTATCAAAAATATGTCGAAGATAGAAAATTCAGTGTAATTTTTTGTGCTTTGTAGCAGAGAATGAATTTGAAAGCATTATAAGGTATTTATTTCAAAAAATATACCCAGTTTCAAAAATATTTTACTTTTTGATCACCCAAACAATACAATGAAATGTGCAATTTCTCTAAAATTTTTCACTTCAAGTTTTTTTTTATGTATCTAGGTATGCTAATTATAAAAGCAATAAATTGTAGTTTGAGTTTAAGGTTGAAAGAATTTTTTTACTTGAAAATTGTGAACGTGACATATTTTCGTAAATTTAAAATCTGCATTTAAAATCTAATCCTTTGTTCGTGATTTATAATTAAAATGAACATAAAATGAATGATAAAATTTCAAAATTGAAAATATTTAAATGCTCAATTAAATTTATTAATTAAAAATGAATTGGTCTTTGAAAATATTTCTTTATTTTATTATAATTTATGTGTGAATTATAAAATCAAATTTATTTTAAAAAAACTTAAAAAAAATAAATACAATAATTGAATAATTGATTAGAAACAAAATGAAAAATTAAAACATACAAAATTTAAATAAATTTTAATTAGATTTTTCTATTCTAAAATATGCAAAAACAAAAAGTTAAAAAAAAATTTTGTACTTATATAAATTTAAGCAAAAGGTTTTGATTCTGTAAAATTTAAAATTCTGTAAATTAAGGAAACTGCCAAAAGAAATTTTATAATTGTTTCTTTAATTATTGAGTTCATTCTTGAAATATAAATGGATAAAATGAAATTTATTGAGTTACGTTTTCTTAGTAAGATACGCTAAAATGAATTGGGACTCTAATTGAACAAATTTGGCAAATCAGGCTTTTAATTCTGGATTTTTAGGAAAATGTGACATCCGAACAGCATTCGAAGATTTGTAAAGTGGAAGTAGAAGTGGAATATTTCATTTCTTCATATTTAGAACACACCCCTAGCTACAGCAATAATTCTGTTTTACAAGAAACTTAAAAAATTTGTATGAAAATTTGTATTTCTGCACATGAATTTAAATTGCTTAACTAAGTCACTTTTAATGACTTTCTTTTACGTTTAGTAAAATGTTCGTAGGCTTTCTTGAATTTTACTGAAATTTTTACTTAAATCTTCTGTCCGAGCATTGAACTTTCCTGCTCTCAATAACATTACGTTAATTAATTAAAAAAATTGTATAGTTCACAAATCATAACCGCAAAATGAAATAAACATTGATATTTTTAATAAATCTTTTGTATTGTATTCTATACATTTTTGTTTATATTCTACACAATTTCAATAGTGCAAACTTTTATATACAATATTTTAATAGAAGGTTCAAATATAAATATTCTGCACATATAACTAATTAAATACTACATTTTCATGAAAAAAAAGTCTTCTAATTCAATCCTTTACAAAAATTCAATCCATAATATCAAAATCTAATTCCAATAATTCATTGTTCTTTTGTATAACTCTTACATAACAACGTAGTAAGTGCAAAAAACAAAAATCCTTAATACTCATTCGACATTAATTCAAAAACGAAACAAAGCCAAACAAAAAAAAAGTTGATTTTGCTGATTTTCATTGTTCTGATTTAGTTGTCATCATTATTATTTGTAGAATTCAACGACCATCGAAGCCATCTATTATATTTACTCATCCTTAGCAATTAGTAAATCAATCATAATACCTTAAACATCCCTTCGAGTATAAAGCCAAACGAATCTAAAAATATTGAAAAAAAAAATAATAATAATGGTCTCTAATAAAGAAAAAGTTTATAATAACTAGCATTGCCATCCGTTGTACATATATGTATGTATGTATGTATATACATGTGTAGCTGTAAACGAAATAACGGTATATTTTTTCAAAATTCATGTATAGTATTATTTCGGCCTTATTTTGTTCTTGTTCACTCACATAATATATACGGCATGTATAATATGTATACCTAACTACTTATATGTATATAACTTAGGTGTGTATGGATACGTAACCCAAAATTAAGAAGAAAGAGAATCAATAGTAAGCTAGATAACTTGTGTGTAATACATGCACATACCGTTTCTATGTAGGTACATATATTATGAAAAAAGTACAACATTCGACATAATAGATCTTAAAATATGTACCGATGTTTTCAGTTATTTTTATTAATATCAAAAAAAAAAAATAAAATTTTTTTTTGTTACAGGAGAGACGATATGTTTGCTTTGATGGCGACGTTGATGCTTTATGGATTGAAAATATGAATTCAGTTATGGATGATAACAAATTGCTGACTTTAGCAAATGGTGAACGTATACGTCTAGAGAGCTATTGTGCTTTATTATTTGAGGTAAGAATTTATTTTTCATTTTTGAAATGAATAAAGTACATAGTACCTACATATTCCGTGCTTGTTACTTTTTTTCTTTTTAAAATTTCTACATACATATATAATACTCGTATGTAGATATATGTATGTACGTATTTATGTTTTAAAATAAAACTAGAAATAAAATAATATTATAGGATTTTTGAATTTATATTACACCTATTGCGAATACAAAATTTAATGAGCATAATTCAATATTCTCGTAGCGTAATTGTAGACTATGAAAGTTAATTAAAAATATTCGATATTCATTATGATATATGTATATATAGTTATTTAGGAATGCGTTATACATAAATGCACATTTTGTAAAAGCAATGCATATTGTTCACTATTAATATTTTATTCAAAAAGTTTTTGTTATATACATTATGTATAGTAAAATAGTATGTATAGATAATAAATCATTAATCTCTAACAATGGTATATATAGCATTTTATACCTTTACTGCCACCCTGTTTACATTACAAAAATTTGAATTTTTTAAAAGCAAAAAGAACAGCATAAGAGTAGGAACTTGTTTTCGTCACTCGGTTACTGGAAGGTGAAAAGTTTAAGTCGATATTTTTAATACAGACACGTTGTTACTTTTTCAAAGCGGTCAACTATTTCAAATTTCTATAAAAGTAAAAACCTAAATTATAATGGGTAAAATATAATTATATGTTCTTATATACATATGTATATACATATATATATATATACTTGAATTCAATTAATAAGCCTTCGAATTCGACAACAATATTAATGTCTTCAATTTTAATTATACCATCGCGAAAATTATGTGCATGTATAAAATCATTTTTGTAGTAAGTGCTTATGGCACCGGTCCGTTAACCGAAAGATCTAGAGTTCAAACCCTGGTCTGGTCATTATAAAATTATATTTAAGCTTAATGTACAATACTTATAAAGAATTAAAAAAATTAAAGCACAATCTTTATAATATCTCATAATACTCGACATTAAAAACTAAAAATAAAAAATTAAATATCAATTACCTTAAATATTCAATATAAAGAAAAAAAAATACGACAGGCTAGTCTTAGCCTACATAGTTAAAATACCTATGACTCAATTAGATTGCGACATAACTATTTATATGCACTAGCCCTATGCTTCTGCTAAGAGTGAGCAGAGGAAAAAGAAATATAGTGAGATGAACTATTGTTTTTTTAAAAAGGTTAATTCGACTTGTTCAAGCTAAGTGTTTTCTTTTGGAAACCATAAATTTAATTCAAATTTATCTTGCTTTTCAGGTTGGAAATTTATCGTATGCATCTCCAGCCACAGTATCTAGAGCTGGTATGGTATATGTTGATCCAAAAAATTTGAAATACGAACCATATTGGAAGCGTTGGAAAAAAACCCGGCCTTTATATGAACAAGAAACTTTAAATGTAAGTATATTAATTTGAACACATAATTCGTATACCAAAACGAAAACTTTTTTACGTCAAGTATACTTTTTACTAAGCTTTTCAACTAACTAAAATCAAAACTATTTTCTAAAGTCTTTTGTTTCAGTCTCGAAATGAGAGAATGTGATAATTTACAGTAGTATTTTAGGAAAAGGAAAACTTAGATAACTGAAATAACTGATAAAATTTAGAATAAAAAGGTGAAGATAGCTAAAAAAATATTATTGTAGAGATTGTGAAAAATTTAGCGCACTTTATACTCACACAACGTTTGCGTTCAATTTTCACAAGCGGCTGTTCGGCGCAGCAATTGTCTTGGACATAGGTCCCTAAGTGTTCGGGAATTGTTGCCCAACTCCCTTAGAGACATCTCCGGCTTTGTGGTTGGGCCGGGGATGTTATAGATGGGAGCGTGGGGAGGCTACAATAAGTCACGAATGACTGCGGTGGCTTGGGGGGTTACTCCTGTCCCATTTGGTCCCCTTAAAATCTACAAAATTACAATCTACTCACACAACATGCATAAACTATGCACATATAGATAATTAATAATTAAATTTTGAAAAGCCATTCCATACTAATCGATTCATACCCATTTTTTGCCACACATTACTATATAATTGCACCTTTAAGTCAAGTTAATATCAAAGCTCAGAATTTGTAATTAATCCAATTTTATTTGAAGCCATTTTATAGTTTTCATCAATAACTATAAATGTTAGAGTAAAAATTTTTTAACTATCATATAATGTTATGAAAGCATAAGCCGAATTTCTTTTAAATACATATTAGGTTTTTTCTACGAAAGCCTTAAAAACATCAAAATTATTTCAGTGTTAACAAGTACTTTAGATTCCTACTAACGTTTCAATAAGCTTATATAGCTTTTCATAGGTTTTTATTATTTTGTTAGTTACATTTAGTACAATTTAAAACCATTTTATTATTTTCTTTATTATAATTTTCAAATATTGTAGATGGGCATGTTTATATATTGTTAAACACTTTTCTTTCACAAACATAAATTTTCTTATTATGCCTACGTAAATGTAAAGTATAAAAAAGTACACATTTTCAAAAGAAAGGGAGAACAATACATGCCACACTTGTAAATCTAAACCCATTTGACTTTGATTTTATTTTTATTATCAACAGTTTCTTAACAATTTTATTTTCTTATTTTACATGTAATATCATTCTTTGACGTTGTTTTTTATTCAAAAAAAAAAAATAAACAAGGACTTTTACGAGAAATTGATACCACCTACAATAGATTTTATATTAGAAGGAATAGATGGAACACAACAGGGTAATCCATTGAAACAAGTTATACATCAAACGGATTTAAATATGGTTGTACAATTTTGTAATACATATGAAGCAATATTTCAATTAAAAAATGAGGAAGGTGAAAATATTGAATACAAAAAAGATGCTCTAGAATGTGGCTTTATAGAGGTAAATTTAATATTTTTCTATATAGGTAAAACAAAATTAAAATGTAAATATGCAACTAAATTTATTTAACTTGAGTTGGATTATGTGTGTGATTTATTTTCATGTGGATAAATCCTAGCATGAAAATGGCAAATATTATATTGATTACGTACATAATTATTTTTACGATGTGTTGCGTAATCCTCAATTAGATGTTGAACATATTTTTTCAATATCATAAATACGCTATTAAAACAAGGTAAATAACTGTTTAAAGACGTGAAAATTCAAGTTTTAACAAACTAGTCTCCAAAATAGAAGCAACTTATAATTCTTCTAATTAAAAAAAACTATAAACGAGTAGCGGATTGTAAAACTGACACTTCAAATTGATCTCGTTATCTCAAACCGGTTTTCCCCACCTTTCGTACTAATTTTGTTTATACAAAGCAAACTTAATGTTTTTCAAATTTTTTAACACTTTATAGGTAAATATTTAATTTCTTTGTCACACTTTGCCGTTTCGATTTATTATTCGCTATAACCAGTTTTACATTTTAAAACGAGAAAAATAGAGTTGACTTTGTCAACTCTGTGATACCCATACGAATTTCTTATAATATGTGTGAATAAATATGCCATAACTGACTATGGGACAGACTATGACTTTAAGTTGCCGTATTACCATATTAATTTATGCAAAATTTCAGTACTTTAAAACACTGTGTGTGCCAAACTACTATTGAAAATGTATGGCACCTACCAGAAAGAGCCAAGAAATTTTAACGTATTTTATCAAGTACATCGGCCCTACTAATATATTCGCTTGTGTGAAATTTCAATACCATAGCTTTTATAGTTTCTACGATATAGTCAAATAAATTTTGAAGTTGTATGGCAGCTACCCGATCCGGTACGCTACGCGATCATGTCCAATTTAAATAAGGTTCTGGCACTTACTACAATAAATCAATTGTAAAAATTTGGTGAAGTTAGCTCAATTAGTTTTTGACTTATCGCTGGGACGGACGGAAGGACCGACGGACAGGCAGATAAAGCTAAATCAACTCAGAATTCGACGCTGATCAAAAACATACACTTGAGTCTATATCAAACGGCAAGGCAAATTTAATATAACCTTCAAACATACGTTCGTTCGGGTATAAATATTTGTAATTATGTAGGAATATACAGCACGTGCTATACTTTCCTCTTTATTCTTGTACTAATAATCTAATTTTAATCAGAATTACACACATATTTTAAGAATATTTTATAGTATAATATACAATACAACACATAATATTCCACAAAACATATTTACAATTTTTATCATTTCTATTGAATTAAAAAATGATAAAATTCTACATACTAGAAGTGTTCTAGATTTTACAATATTGCTAACTTAAATACATACACACATATTATTTCAAAATTCAATACCATTATGTTGTAAAATTAATGAAAATCAATTCGAAAAATGTCAACATGAATATTATATTACATATTGAATAACTGACACACACATTTAATGTATACAACCATACACCTGCATATACGCAAATATAAATAGATTAAAGCTTAATTTTCCAATACAAACATTTATAATAAAATTTTTGAATTTTCCTGATAAGATTTTCAAAAAAAAAAATATAAAAAACAACTCTGTATGTAAAATTTCCTAAAAGTAAAAATCATATTTCAAAATTTAATTATTCTTATGTAGACAATATTGTAAATATGCTCTGATAAACATGTATGAAATTATATTTTAAAATTGAAAAATAAAAAAACAAAAAAAAACTTTTTAATATTCAGAGATGATAAAATGTATCACTATGCAATGAATTTTCTTCGTTTAAAGAATGGAAAATTCAAAATTGAATTATGACCCATAAATCAATAAATTTTTCTTTTTTTTTTTAGTGTTATTTTTAGGACATTTTTTCAAAAAAAAAAAATTGAAGAAAAGTGCTTATATATTTCACTTTGTTCTTTGTATATACTTTAAAAACTGTCCGTTATCTTATCCGATATTTCGTAAATATAAGTTCGGTTCATGGTAAAAGCCTAGTCGCTGGCACCTAATTTCCTCATTTATAAAATATTGAAGTCAAAAGTTGATCACACCCTGACTTAACCAAAGTAAATGAGTATAAATCTTCGTGAAAATCTGTTCAGCCGAGATACAGATTTATTTTTAGTATTTGGAGAATATCTTTGCAGATATTTTCCAAAATACGAACTATTTTTACTGAATATCTGGACAGAGATTATCTAAAAATAGTTCCTACTTTGGAGTAGTGCGTTTCCGCCAAAATTTCGAATTGCGAAATTTGATGCCATCACATTGTCTCTCTTATTATTTATTGTATGCTATACGGTCGGTAAAAAGAAATTTAGTATAATTGGTTATCCATCTCGTTTTTACATTTACCTGTATCTAATTTTACAGTTTTATACAACACAGACTAAAATCAGAAAAAGTGGACCTGCAAATATCGTAAAGAAAATAGAAATCATATTTCAGTACAATAAATTTTATAAATTATATAATATGTGGTAACATATAAAAATAAAATTATTTAAAATTTGAAGATGTGCTTGCAGTCGTCTTAATTACGATAATATTATCATACCATTAAAAATCTTTCGTTATTCTCGTAAACTTACAGTTCAATTATGAAATCTTGTTTAAATCTGTTTTTAAAAATAATACATTGACAATTTACTCATTGGCTGTCTTTCCTTAAATGTAAGTTTCTTAAGAATACTAATGATGGTATGAAATCGTATATTTTGAAAAGTTTATATTTTGCATTTACGATAATACCGTGATGAACTATTACTACTAGTGCAATACGGGATTGAAATGTAATATAATGAAATTTTAACCACTAAATAAGTCACATCGACGTTGGACTAGATTATTCATCTGACATTAGTTTAATTTTCAGTTGATATCCAGCATATCGCAGCTTAAACGTGACGTTTCTAACTTAAAATCTTAAAGTGAAATGTTCTGTTCTACAATCCATTGTGTTTCGACTCACTGTTTTTTTTTATTTTACTTTTTTTTTATATGATATTTTTTCATTCTTCATAAACTGAAATCAACAAAATTGTATCCCACGTGATACGTGATAAAAATATTTTATTCTAGGATTTTAGGATGTTTAGAAGAGGGAAAAAAATCACTTGTTTTTTGTTCTTTTTTTTTAGTCTTATTGTACTTTATTGAAAAATGCTGTAATTTTCACTAAAAAATTTTAAAAAGCCTAGAAAACACAATTTGTTGTTTTTTTTTTATTTTTTTGCTTTTCAGGTGTCGGAAATTAAAAAAAAAAAAAAACAAAAGTAAACATACCTACCTGTTTTTATTCGTTTTGTGGTCCTATAAAAAAAAAACTGCTTCTGAAAAAATTGAAATTTCTAAAAATCGGATGGAAAAAATTAAATCAAAAAATTTTAAACGTCTACGATTTTAAATTTTTTATAATTTTAGTCGACGCTTTTTTAATGTTGATGGATACCTTCTTAAGTAGACAATTTTCTTTTAACAGAATGTTAAAATTTTTGTTGGATTAAGTTTGCTTGTTCTGTTAACAGATACACCCCGTAGATCTGCTGGGCCAATATATTTTCCTAATGAAATAAAACTTATGCCTATAGGTATGTCCATTCCTACAGTCATTAGTCTTATATAAATACCTATAGGTTATGTGTGCACAAATTTTATATAATTTAGTATGTATAATTACTGACTGCATTGCATAAAATGAGGTAGATTATTTTTATTTTTCGAATAGAGAATATATTGAAAATTTCTATTGAAATACCAACATATTAAAAACAAAATTTTCTTCAATTTGAAGTTAACAAGCCCTGTACAAAATTTCTATGCAGAATAAAACTAATGAAATGAAATTTTTTGAACAGGGTTTTAAATCACATTTTTAAATGAATAACATTGAAAAGTTATAAAATGTCTCTTACATTTTCTACTTGTGTTCTATTGCTTTACCTTTGGGAAAACTATCTGATCCCGAATGAACTGTACAGAGTTTCATATAATATCATACTGACACAAGAACCAAAGTTAGCATGATATATATGTAAAATGAAATAATTCATTTAAAGTACTCGTAATGAGAACAATTCTGACTGAACAATACATGTGACCGAGAAAATGAGATGCAGAATGAAACTATTAGCTATGAGGCTTAAAGTGACACGAAATGCAATTACAATTGTTAGGATTGAAAATTTTTTAATTGTTAAGAATTGTATTTGAATATTATGATAATAAATTGTTATTTTAATTATTTTTATTTTTTTTTAATTTTGATTTAAATTTGCTTGTGATTTTACAAAAAAAAAAATTTGAAATTTTCTTCCATATGTAGTGTGTCTATTTATCATTGGGAGCCAGTATCCTTGAATGTGATCGTCCTATTTTTGACGAATTTATTAAACGTAGTTCTGGTTTCATGTTAGTTGAAGATACAATTGAAAAACCAGCTGAAGGTGGACAATTACCAATATCAAAAGCATTGTTATATGATTATTTTTTTGATATTATAAAATTACAATGGATTTGTTGGGAATGGAATGTACCAAAATATAAACATGATCATAATGCTAATTTTTGTGATATTTTGGTTCCAACAATCGATACAATGAGAACTGATAAAATTTTAAATTTAATGAGTCAGGTAAGAATTCTAAAAATAAATTTTATTTATCAATAAATTTAATAAAGAAATTTTTCTTTCATTTCATTTTATTTGATGAACAAATTATTATTTGAAATATGAACAAATCGTGCGGCAAATTACTCTTGTGCATATTCCAACACCTTTGTTCGACAATTTTAATTCGAAAATATAATCGATTTATATCGAAAAACATTTTGAAATCAACGATGAATCACAACGCAATGAAAACAAATCGAACAAAAATTCAATAGATAAGGCGCCCTTCATTATTAATAGGTGAAACTGGAACATCAAAGACTGCTATCATAACAAACTACTTAAAGAAACTTAATCCGAATACTTTTGTAAGTTTTTTTTTTGTTATTTTTTTTCTGTTTTTTTACCAGATTTAATATTAAAACGAAAATCTTATAAGGAGAAAATTACTTTTTATTTCGGGTGTAATTTACTTTTTGCTTTTTTTTTTTGCTCTGAGTACAATAAAAACAAAATGACAAACTTTTCAAATAAAAGAAATTGAAAAGAGCAAAAAAAAAAATAACAAATTTCCATCATTTATTTTTCTTTTTAATGGAAAATATTTTCTTTGATTTTCTTTATTTTCTTTTCCATATGATGAAAATTTAACAACTAAACAACAGATTATGCTTAATATAAACTTTTCATCACGAACTTCATCAATAGATGTTCAAAGGACAATTGAAGGTTCAGTCGAAAAAAGAACTAAAGATACATTTGGTCCACCGCTTGGAAAGAAAATTACAGTTTTTATTGATGATATGAATATGCCACAAGTGGATGCGTATGTTTTTTTTTTTGATTTTGAAAAGAAAAAATTTTAAATGTTAAATCATAATATAAAAACAGTAGGTGTCAGAATTTCATCCTTCTCTTATAGAATATTTTATGTAGAAATAAATATTAACATTTGTGAATTTATTAAGGAATTATGTAAAAAAATTTCGATTCTGCTTTTAGGAAATTTTCATTTAATTTCATCTTTTTAAAGTGGAATAAATTCTGATTTATAAATATTTAATTGTTGCACTTATACATACAGTGGCATCTCTATAACTCGAAGTCGCACGGGAACGCTAAAACAGTTCTAGTTATGGAAACTTCGAATTGAAATGAAAGAAAAAAAAATTATGCCAATATTCAAGGAAACTCATATGACTTCGAGGTTAAGAGATTTTCGAGTTGTAGAGATTCGAGTTGTGGAGACATCACTGTATTTAAAAGTTTAAAATTATATATATTATATTTTCAAATATTTTACAAAAAATTACTATACAAGATAAATAAATTTGACAATTTAACATAAATGATGTACTTATGTATATCTATTATAATTTAAATTTATATTATTTTCTTTTATATAATATTAATAGTTTTTTCAATAATAATGAATTTTCTTTTAAATTTTCTTTTAGGTATGGTACACAACAACCTATTGCTCTATTAAAACTATTATTTGAATATGGTGGAATGTATGATCGTATAAAAGATTTAAATTGGAAAAAAATTAAAGATTTAACATTTTATGCGGCAATGGGCTGTCCTGGTGGTGGTAGAAATGAAGTTGATTCACGTTTTATATCTATGTTTTCAACTTATAATCTTGTATTTCCAAATGATGATGCCTTAAGGATGATTTATTCATCCATATTCAAAGGTCATTTAGAAAAATTCCCTCCAGTGTTATTATCAATATCTGATACACTTGTAGAAATGACACTATCATTATTTAAGGTAACTGAAATTCATATTAATGGTATATGAATGTAATAAATTGTTTATCATAAATATGTATATATATTTAACCTAATAATGAATTAATGTCCTACAAAGAGAAAAAGGAGTATTTCTTAAGTTTTATTCATTTCGAGTAAAATAATCTATTTTAAAAATGGAATTGTCAAGATTTTACACATTTTATGGTTAGTTAATTTGCTGCAATATTTAGAAACCTTATTGGAAGCAAATCTTATATGTATTATGGAAGAAAAAATGTTTGTTTAAACCGATTATTAAACTACGTTAAACTACTTAAAACGCGCTTAAAGTGAAATTGTAATTATTTTTTAATATTTGTAATTTTTTTCGAATACTCAATTAGTTACACTAAATATTCAACTAAAATCTTAGCCTTTCTAGCTAAATTCTTAAATTAAATGTTTAACTAAATTCTTGAACGAAAATTTTATTGAAAAATCTGAACTCTGAAAATTTATTCAAGAATATTTGTATAAAACATATTTCCATCAAATACAATTATTGAATTAAAATGTTTGCTTTTAAATCGAAACTTTCTCAGAAGGCATGTATTGAAACGAGGTAAAATTCGATAAACTAACTACGTTTATATGTAAATGAGAGTTTTTAACCCTTTCCCAAGAATTCGTTTCAACTTTTAAAGTATGCAAGCATATGTCTATATAAGATTATTTATTCTGATTTTGAAACAACTAATTACATATATATATATTTGTGTAAAATTCCTTTTGAAATTGTTAGAGTCCAATTATAGTCCAAATAGAATGAAATGCCAAGAAATTTTTACAAACAAAATTTGCTTGATTTCAAGTTTTGAAAATTGTCAGTATTTTTTGAATTAGTACATTTCACATAAGAGCATTTTTCTTAAAACCCTTTGATACTTATTCTTCTTAAAACCCTTTGATATAAGCGAACCATACTATGAGTTTTACCTGTGCAAACTGTTATGATTAAAAACTACGGGTCTACTGCAATATTTAATTAGAAATCATATTATTACGAAATTTTTTAAAAATTCGGGTAAAAATTAGTTTTGCTTTGAGATATTTTAAAATACTGATTTTTCCATAAATACTGATTTTCGCATAAATACCGATTTTCGCATTTTAATTAGTATCAATGAAACATAAAGCTAACCTTCACAATTTGGAACTCTGTTTTATGATTATTTAATATTTGTAACATAATGTTCACATAAAGTAATAATAAAACTTTAATTGAAAATTTAAAGAAAAATTTTCTGTGATTTATGCGAGTATTTAAACTATTTAAACCTCCTTTTAACTAAAAGGAGGAACAAAGAGCTTTTGGAATTGTTCTTAACTCTAAAACCGTAATATAGGTAATTTAAATAAATTATTACGAGTTTATATTACAATTTGCTTTTGAATAATTTATAATATTATATTTGCAGATTTCGAGATTGGCCCTCGTAACGAAAATTTCATTCTATTTCTTATCAAAATATTAACACCAATTTTTTTTATTATAAACAAATTTCTTTATATTTTTTTTTTTTTTGCACATCAATTCTTATAGACACCTCCCTTTATTTTTTGGACAGATTACTCTTGCGATACAAAATCAAATTTTATTTATAATCATACACGCGTGTACACGTAAATAAATAAATGATAACAATATCCAGAAATAAGTAAATATTCATCATTTTCCGATTCCTCACTTTTCTTATTATATTGTGTTCATTTCTACTCATACATAATATATGTATGTATGTATACAATGAAAAGACATGGATTTTCTTTTCTTATTTATTTTCGCTTACTGCAAAATATTTTGTTAACGAAATTGTCATATTTTTTTTTTGCGATTTTCTTCAAATCCATCTACAATGAAAACGATCAGAAAAAAAACCTTAAAACTACATGTAAAAACGAGAAAAAAAATAGAGTTGACCTTGTCAACTCTGTGATACCCGTACGAATTCGTTATCCTATGTGCGAATAAAGATGCCATAACTGACTATGTAGTTGCCGTATATTGATTTATGAAAAATTTCAGTACAATGTGTTTTTCAAAATACTGTGTGTGCCAAACTACTGTTGTAAGTTGTATGGCAGCTACCACAAAGAGCCAAGAAATTTTAACGAATTTTATCAAGCACATCGGCCCTACTAATATATTCCCTTGTGTGAAATTTCAATACCATAGCTTTTATAGTTTCTGAGATATAGCCAAATAACTTTTGCAGTTGTATGGCAGGTACCAGAAGGAGCCAAGTAATTTCAACGACTTTTATCAGACACATTGGCCCTACTAATATATTCGTTTGTGTGAAATTTCAATACCATAAATTTAATAGTTTCTGAGATATAGCCAAATAACTTTTGAAGTTGTATGGCAGGTACCAGAAGGAGCCAAGTAATTTCAACGACTTTTATCAGACAGATTGGCCCTATTAATATATTTGCTTGTGTGAAATTTCAATACCATAGCTTTTATAGTTTCTGAGATATAGCCAAATAAATTTTGAAGTTGTATGGCAGCTAACCGAACCGGTACCCCGATCATGTCCAATTTAAATAGGGTTCTGGCACTTAATACAATAAATCATTTGTGAAAATTTGGTGAACTTAGCTCAATTAGTTTTTGAGTTATCGTTGGGACGGACGGACGGACGGGCGGACGGACGGACGGACGGACGGACGGACGGACAAAGCTAAATCAACTCAGAATTTGACGCTGATCAAAAACATACACTTGAGTCTATATCTAAGACCGTTATTTCTTAGCGTTACAAACGGTAAGGCAAATTTAGTATACCCTTCGAACATACGTTCGTACGGGTATAAAAATGAGGAGTTGGAAAGGAAAAAAGTAGCATGTTATGCAAGGCAACTTACTAAAATATTGAAGATGATTTATTAGTAAAAATCCTATCTGTAACTAAATAAACTACAAAAAAAATGATTTTATATACAATAAATTTATTTCTGTATAAAAATGATAATGTGTATCATATTAAATGAAATATGAATAAAGAATTTATTAGAAAAAGAAAAAAAATATATATATATAAAAAAACACAATACAGTCTGAAAATTCAAGGACATCAATAGAAATTCGGGAATGATGACAGAACGGTATGATTGAATAAAAAAATTACATTTTGACAATTATAATCATGTTTTTGAAATATACGAGTAAAAAAATTAAATTTTACATATTTTAATTTTTATCCTTATTCCTGAATTATTTATACTTATGTCTTTTCATTATTGAGTTAAGCGCCATTTAAATAAGGTGCTATCGAAATTCAAATAATTTGATTTTTTCAATTTTTTTCTTATTAAATATCATCTTTGTAACATCAGTTATAAAATATTGCATGTTTATGTATAAAATTATAAGAAAATTTTATTTAATGTAAAAATCATACGGTTCTATTATTCTTCTCAAATTTGTTCTCACAATATTTGTGAAAAAAGCTGTGTATTGCGCTTTTACAAACTTATTCGATATTTTGAAATTTTTATATGACATATTAAGAAAATATATGTAAGTACATTAATTGAAAAAAAAAGGAGTTTTCATTTAAGGAAAAGGAGGAATTCAATTCGACATTTTGGAGTTCGGCAATTAAGTCAAATTTTGTATTTCAAAAATTTATTCTTTTCCTCCATATTATTTTGAATAAGCTTATAAATTTTTGACAAACTTTTAAACTAGATTTTAAATGTTAAAATTATGTTTTTTATTAAATGTATGTGGGTATGTCAATTGTTAAGTTACTATTTGTATTGAATCTCTTTTATAATAATAAATTTTTATATGGTCTAATTATTTTTGAAATTTATTTTTAGTTAGCCTATTTATTTGAATATTTGTAAGGAAAGTGTGTGAAAACCTATACATTTTTGATATTTTTCATTCAATTTTTACATAAACAAAATTTTTACTTTTTTTCTCAATTTAATGGGAAAAATATGTGGGTTAAAAATGGTGAAATCGTAAAAAGAATACCGTTCCTACCCTCTCTTATAAAAATCTTACAAAAGAGTTTTTATTTGGTTTCTTTGAAGAAATGTTGATTCTTTCCTCTTATTTTCTTTCCTTGAATAATGATTTTGTAGTGTTTGAATAATGAAAATATTTAATCAATATTTATTTTCTTTATTGTACACTTTATGTATATTACAAGTATATAATATATTATACACATTATGTGTATATAAGTATATTATTATGTATTATGTAATAAAAATATAAAAAAAAAATTATTTTATTTTTTTGTTTATTTTTTTCTTTTGCATACTACTTTATTCCAAATTCCATTTTGTACGCTATTCAATTATATATTGTGGAATCAAGATTGTTATTGTTGAATTACCGCCAACACCATCAAAATTTCATTATATATTCAATTTGAAGGATCTCTCAAGAATATTTTCTGGTTTACTATTAATTCATCCAAAATATTTTAAGGATCCTAGTTCATTGGTTAGAGTATGGCGAAATGAATTCATAAGAGTTATTTGTGATCGATTGATTTCTGACAATGTAAGTACTTTTACGCTTATTATTATTATTATTGTTAAAATTGCTTTTTCTATTTTTATTTAAATTTCTTTAACACGTTTTTTAAAATATAATTATTATATTGATGAATATTTAATATTATACTACCATATTTATGTACGTCCCATATGTATTAAATTATTAATGTTTTAAGAAGGTCGTTTTAAATACGATATTGTACGTGTGATGTTCCTAAAGGTGCGTACCATGTTCAATTAAGAGTTTGTGTTCATCAGGAATTTAACAATAGCAGATACCGTTTTAATAAACTCATTTTGACTGAACTTGATACGAAATTGCTCTAAAACAAGTTCGACAAATAAGTCCATTTAACAAATGACTTTTAGTTTTAAAATTCGTACAAATGTACTGATTGTTAAATTAACAAAAATATAACAATTTCTTCTAGATTCTTTTCGATACAAATTTTTTTTATAAAAAATTTAATTAAAAGCTCTCGTATATGCATATATGCAAATTAACTAAGACGTGTTTATATAATAATTAGATATTGTGCTATTTTATGGAAATAAAAAAGTTGGTCTTGAAACTTATTCAGTTCCGGGATCATTGCCAGACATTTTATTAGCATAAATTGTCTAACTATAAAAGTAATTTGAACAAAGCTTTAATTAGAGTTAGATTATTCAAATACGTTTCCGAGAAATTTAATATTTTATGACGCAATTTTTACATAGGAAAATTTGCAACTTATTGTAGAACACAAATTCAAGATATACGAACTATATATTCAATATTGATCCGAGTTCCTCAAAATGCTTAGATTTCAAAAAGTATTTTACTACGTGCATAATTAGAAAAACTAATTTTTTATAGCAAATAGTATAAAATTGTTTATGAAATAGTAAAAGTAAATTGATTTTGTTAAAATACGTTTTCTTCTGCTCAAATCCTATTTATATTATAACCAATTAATAAACTATTGAGTTGAAAGTACGTCACAAGATTTCAAAAATTTCACCTTCAATTTTAAGTACATTTTCATTAATAATTTATTATGTCTTTCTTATATGTCAAACTTTAATATGATAAAAGTAAAAATATTTGTTTTTCAAATCCTTTTACGCATCAAAGTTCCTCCTTTTTCTTAGTTCTATTTTTGATTTTGTTTAGTTGTCAAGTTGATGAATTGAAAGCAATTATAATTATTTGCTTTAGGATAAATAATAAATATATAAAAGAAAGAATTTTCGGTAATAGCTGAATATATATTATAAACAAATTCCATAAATAATTCTAGAAATCAAAGACAATCTCCATATTTATACAAACATATATTTTTAAGATAACAGTAAATAATCGTATAGGTTAAACACAAATATATTGTAGAAGTTAATCAAATACGTAGCAAATATCAAAATATTAAATTTTCATCATGATAACCAACAATTTTATAGGCTAATTTAAAGTTTTTTTTTACAAGTCTTTTTGTACGGTAGGTTTGTATGGTATAAATAAGAACTAAAAGTTTGCTGCTACAACGGACGAGTTTATGAAAATTCATTTAAAAGTAAACTGTACCATGCTTTAACAAACTTATTCCGTGATCAAAAATATAAAATAATAAACAGAAGGTTTATGTAAACAAAAGCATAGAGGGAGGTCTTCGATTGAAACGGAAATTAGAATTTAGCAAGGAATTGGATTGTCTAAATGTTTGAAGTGTGGGGTTCGAAAATATTCTCATTAAATAATTCAATTCTGTTTAAAATTTAATTTCAATTTCTTTGAAATAATTCAAGTGTTTTTAAATTTTTAAATGATATATTTTCAATTTATTTGTTTATTCATATTTGCTAAACCGCCTTTAATATCCCAGCGATCAATTTGTTCAATTGTAATAAAAAATGATTGATATTTTATAAATAGTTCACATCAATTTTGTATTTGTATGCATATTATATGCATTGGACACACTGTAAAATTTTTGAAAAAAATGAGATAATAATCAAACAAAATAAAGTGTTAAAATTAACAATAAGATTATATCGAAACTAACAATTACACTAACAATATTATTCGTTAAAACCAGTGAATATGACTAAATGGCTAAAGTATTGCCGAATATTACCAAATCATAAATGGACACTTTAAATTAAATTTAATAAATAGTTAAGAAATTAAAAAAAAAAACCTTTTCGCCAAAACCCCGAAATAAATAAAAATCGATTTGCTCTATCGAATAATTGTATTAAAATGGAAAGTACCCTGTAAAAAATGTAAATTTCAATAACTAAAACTTATATTTAAAATTTCTACTGATGAAATGATGATTCTGTTGATGATTAGAATTTTAATGATGATGATAACAGTAGTATATTAATGATATTTTATTCTATTATGCTGCTTAAGGCAACTTCAATTTAAGTTGTTTACATTTCTATTTGAAGGATTCTACTGAATGAATTCTTTTATTTTTAAGCCATTTTAAAATTAAGGGAATGATTTTTGTAAAAAGAAATTGACGACTGAACAACATGTCTACCCGTATAATTATACTATTTCTGGAAATCTAAAGTACTGTTTTCTGTCTAGAGAGTAAGAAATAGTGCAATGATCTGCGGAATATGTTTAACTAGAAAACGTAATTAATATTACTTTATCATATAACTGGGTAGACGCTTATATTAAGTATAGTAGATCTGCCACACATGTAAAATTTTCAATAATATCTTGAATCTAATAAAAGAGGCAACATTCGAAAAACAAATAAGGCGAGTATTTCCTTATTTAAAAAAATATTCTTTGTTGAGGGACAAAGAAGCCCATATAAATTCAATATTTGTAAAGTGCAATTAAAATAATCTGTAAAAAATGCCGTCGAAAATTACAAAATTCCGATTTCTCTCTTTTGCTCTTTCGCTTAAGAAGTACATATATATGTACTCGTATCGTATGTATATATTTCCCGAATGAAAACTTGTATAAGATAACATTGATTTTGTATTAGACAAATTACATATGTACATAGATAAGTTCAAGAATTCCTTTTAAATTTTTGCAATCTTCTAATTACAAAAATTATTATAATTTCTTTTTTATTTCATACTTATTTCCTTTATCCACGTTTCTTTGTAATATGACGAAAATTCTCAAAAGAATAATATCTCCTTCTCTTCTGTCATATATTTGATTTTTTGCTCTGTGAATCCGGAGAAATTTCTATTTAAAATTGGTATTTTTTGGTTTACAACACTTGTAGCCGTGTACATTTAATGTTTTTTTTGGTTTAGTAAATAAAATTCATCGATTTTTTTTAGTACTATAGGTTGGCTATATAGTAGATTACTTAAGTAAGACCAAAAAAATCGTTAAGTAAATAAATCTATGGTGGGAGATTAGAGTTAATAGGTTTCCTAACAAAAATGAAGATTTACAAAGCAATTTTATTATTTAAGAATAATTAGTAAGATTGAAGAAAATTAAAATTTAATTAACAATGTTGAGTGTAAAACGGGAAACTCATAGTTTTGGAACACATTCTCGTTTAAGATAGTCATGAAAATATAATTTAACCTTCTTTTGTGAAGAAAAATATTTTATAAAAAATCGCAATTAAAATTTATGACTTAAAATTATTTAAGTTTTTAAATTTCTTTTATTATTCCTAGTCATAAATAAAGAATTACCCGCTTCTTATCATCTATTAGAAAATTAGTTATATACTCAATTTCTTGAGATTTGTGTAGTCTAATTAATCATATAACTAATTTCTTTTTAACAGGATATAAAACTTATGAAAAATCAAATCGAGAAGCAGATTAAAATGCAATTTCCTCCTACTTTTGAGGCTGACAAAGGTATACAAATGAAAAAGATACCACCACGACCAGGTGCTCCACGTAAAAGGTTAGACAAAGGTAAACCGATATTTTCAATATTACCTACAAGCTCAATGTCAAAATCAATGACTATCAAAAAATAGCCAAAAAATGAATTATAGCATTTTGACTTTCTCCTGGAGAAACTTCTTAAACAAATAATTATTTATTATTTAGTTTAAAAACTTATAATTTTTTGCGATTACTAATAATCTTACCTTTTCAGACGAAAAAACATCATGTGGCAGTAGTCAAGATGAAGGTGAATTTATAACAATGGCCGAATATGCTCTTAGAGATCCTATATTATTTGGTGATTATCGAAATGCTGTTAATGAATCTGATGAAAGATATTATGAAGATCTTTTAGATTATAAAGCGATTTACTTTTTATTCCAAGAGGTCAATATGAAGTTTATCAATTTATTTTAATTTATAAATTAGTTTTAAATTTCAATAACCAGATTCTTGAAGAATATAAGGAAAGAGTTGAAAAATTAAATATAGTACTTTTTGAAGATTGTCTTGAACATTTAACTAGGGTACATAGAGCTTTAAGAATGCATCGTGGACATGTCCTTCTGATTGGAATTGGTGGTGTCGGGAAACGAGCTATAACGAAACTAGCAGGTTTTGCAGCAGGTAAAAATTGTTTTTTTTTTTTTTTTAAATTTTGAAAATATTTTGTTTCAAGAAATTGAAGAACACGAAAAAATTAATTTTGTGGAGCTAATTTTTAGTTTTATTTTTCTCTTGTAGAATGTCAAAACTTTGAAATAACAGTAAGCCGAGGATACAATGAACAATCATTTAGAGAAGATGTAAAATCACTTTATATAAAAGTTGGCGTCGAACAAAAGAAAGTCGTATTCTTCTTTACAGGATCTCAAGTAAGGAGACGCGTATATATATAAGTTTATTGTGAGTTAAAATCAATAAAATTAACATTTTGCTTTGTTTTTTTTTGTCAATTTCAAATTGAACTTCTTCGACTTAACAATTAAACCAAAAAAAAAAATGGATCAATCTTTGATTCCTAAATAAAACTGAACCTAAATAAAACACCGGAATAAAAAACAACACACTACACGTAAAGGTTATTGAAGAAGGTTTTCTAGAACTAATTAATAATATTCTTACTGTGGGTTCAGTTCCAGCTCTTTTCAATGATGAAGAAAAAGATAATATTATCGGAAATTGTCGTACTGTCTGTGAATCGGCTGGACTTTCACCCGCAAAGTATATCAAAATTTTTATAATTTCATTTACATTTGTTAAGATTGCAGGAATATATTTATTTTATTAACCATACGTTATACATACAAATTCATAGGAATACCGAATAAATAATTATACATGTCAATAGCGATATGCTAAGCATATGATCCTTCTATATACCTATGTACAAACAACACATAAAAACTTTTTTGGGCTATTAAATTATCAAATTGTTTACGTCATTCATTATTTGAAATGCAGAAGGCTATTTTCAATAACAATACATTCAATTATTGTGCTATGAAATAAGAAAAGATAAGTGCTATATTATAAAGGATCATGTAAACAAGAATTATTTTACCATAAACGTAAAATAAAGTGAATCCTCTTCAGAAAAAAAAAATATAATTATACAAAAGTATACTAAAGCACTTAATTAAATAAATGAAAACTAAATAATGTAAGGAATCGAACGACAAGAGTATACAATAGGGAACAAAAAAACCTGGACATTCAAAAATGTTCTACAGTATAGTAAGAATTTGAAAATATTAGAAAATTTTATAGGGAAAATAATGAATAACTAATCAAATGAGAAGAACAAGAGCATGAACAATTTTTTGAATACATAAAAAACTTTAAGAATTTTTTTAATTTAAAATGTGTAAAAAATTATGGCAGTCTAATTGCAAAAGGATTTTTATGGTTTGCGAAGCGAATAACTTACTCCAATACAATAAAATCATTTAGTTTTCAGGAAAATAATCTAAAGATCTATTCTTACATTCAATTTATTCAATATTAATAAAATTATTGATTATAAAACGTTTAAAATAATACTCCTACATATTAAAAAAAATGTTATAAGCTTTTCACTCATGGTCAAGAAATTAAACTCAAGAAATCCACTTTTAAATTTTGATTTTCGAGTCGACATTTTCAAGGGCAACGATACGTATTTAGGCATTTTTCGTATGTGCTAAATGCTGTGTTTCCACCCAATGTTAGCGTGTCTAACTCAAAACTATTACAATATACCGCATCTTAAAATGTTATATAAATCTACACAGATTTAATAATTCAACTAAATAATCAAATAACATTGAACATAATTTTGAATCGAAAGACAATCATTTTATGATTCGAAAGTTGTTCCTCTGAAATTCGATAAATTAAGTGATTGAAATGGATATTGTTTTGATATTTGCCATCCGCCATACGTACTGGCAATCATTTACATTGTCTTTTATTGTATATACAAATTATATAATAAGAAAAAAATAATTCAATTTTATTTTCTATTGTCAGGATAACTACGATCAAATAAAAGTAGAAAATGATAGATGTACAAAAATAACATAGAAATTGCTGAATATCTATCATTTGAATGACTGACAATAACACAAATATTTAATTTTTATATTTTATTGATGATATTTTTTTACTCTTACATACATACATACATATTATATTTTACTATTTATAGTTTTTCACATATTCGACGTATTTTTATGAAATTACAAGCAATAATCTTTTTATATATAGTTTTTAAGTAGAAAATATAAAAAAACAAAGTATATATAGATAGATGGTAAAAAGAAATGAAAAGTTATACAGCGTTGTATTCTTTTATTATATGTATAACAAAATAAACTTATTTTTTTTCTCTTTGGTTTACATAGCCTTTTGCAATGCAATTTGGCCCAAAACAAATCTCATTTTCTCTTATTTATTTATTTATTTATTTATTTATTTAATTATTTATAATATAATTTTTATTTTTGTGAATATTATTAATTTTCTTGTTATACATTTATAATTGAATATTCTCAAGATAAATAACTAATATATAATCATATCAATTTTAATTTGAATAACAACATAACCATTATATGCTATACATATAAAAGTATATTAAATAATATTCATCATTTATGTATAGAGATTCAGTATGGTCATATTTTTTAAATAATTGTGCTCAAAATCTTCATGTTGTTTTATCGATGTCACCGGCTGGCGATTCTTTACGAAATTATTGTAGAAATTTTCCAGGTTTAATTGGCAGTACATCAATTGATTGGGTATTTCCATGGCCAACACAAGCTTTGTTTGCGGTAGCTGAATTATATTTATCAGAACATCCAATGGTAATTTCAAAATAGTAGTGTAATTTTTAAATCAAGAAAATTGAATTTTTTTTATATTGATTATTGTAGTAAGTTTTGTTTGGTTTCGTAACAAGTTTTTAATATAGTATTTATGGTTTCTCTTTGAAAGTATTTTGTCATTTCTATACTGATTTTTCCGACATATCTCTCTTAAAATTTTAAAGTTTAACTTAGTTATATTTTTTTGAATATTGCACAAAAACCCATCTTATGTTTTTTTGTATTAAGGACCAAAACGGCAGAGTTAATGTCTTTCGATTTCTTAAGTTAAGTTTTTCTTTATTGACATTATACCTTACTAATCGTAATGAATCCCACATACAAAATTTCTATTTCAAGAAGTAATTCATTCGTTTTTTGTAAATTATTTATAATGAAATTAACCTTAATTTAAAATAAATGGTTCGTTATGAAAATTAAATTTGCAAATAATAATTTAAAATAATTTCAAGGTATGTAATCGTTATACAGGTAGTAAAAAAATTTAATATTATGAGAAATATATGTAGGAAATTTTTCTTAATTGTGTTATTATTATAACAGTTACAAATTTTATATTAAATTTTCACACAATTTACATTGTTCCGTGAAATGCATTTTGATTTTATACTTCCCCTTACTCTTTTTCTCTCTAATGAAGAAATGATAAAGTTATCAAATATTTAAAGTAATAAAGTGACCAATAAACTTAGTTTTCTCTACTTGTATAATTTTTCTTTTTCTATTCTTTCATTACTTTGTGTATATATTTTAATTTTCATGAAAATAATAGCAAGAAAGAAAACAAAAAATCAAGAAAATAATGTCAAAAGGTAGTGAAAAATTTTTTAATAAAAAATTGACAAATTAAATTTATTTTCAACTAATGAAAAAGCATTTTCCCGTACTCTTAACTGATTTTTGTGTTACGCTCTTAAAACAAATGAAATAAATTAAGAAATTTTCTTTTCTATTTGTCTCTCTTTCTTATTTTCTCTCTCTCTGTTGGTTCTTTTTTTTTCTATTTTCTTCTTTTTTTGTCTTTTTATTCATTTTCATTATTTTTCTATTACTGTTCATATAAATTAAAATGGTTGTATGGAAAAACTCTTTACAAAGTGGAGAGTAAACAGTTATTCTATAACGTTAGATTAATGATGTTTTTATGCAGCATTTGCCTTGGTCCTTGTTGCTTTTTATATAAAGTGTTTTATACTTGTTGTAGATGTTTTACTTTATCAAAAAAAAAAAAGTTGTGAATCGTTTCAATGCTTAAATTAATTAAACTTTGTGTAAATTTTTGTTTAAGAAAATTTTAATTTTCAACTTAGAGAAAAATATTTTTCTTTTACAAGAATTTCAATTTTTTTTTATTTCGATTTTTCGTTTTTCATGTTAAAGTGTTTTTCAAATATTTAAATTTTTATTTTTTTTTTTTTGCTGTTCTTTTAATGTTGTTTTTTATTGTGAAAATATTTTTTAACATTCTTGAATTTTTATAGATTGGTGAAGCACATCGTTTATCTATAGTGGAACACGTTGTACATGTTCATAGCAGTATTGGTTTTTATACATCTGATTATTTACAGAAGTTACGACGTCGAAATTTCGTTACACCTAAACATTACCTTGATTATATAAACACATATATAAAATTAATGGGTTTGTAATTGAAATTTTTGGTAAAGATAATTAATTTTAAGTATACATATATAATAAGTATAGAAAAACAAATATTTATGGTGTATTGTAGCATTAAAACGACTCGCATTATTCGGAAAACAAAAAATTTTACGTACATTTTAAAATAAAACACATAGTAGTAGGTATGGTATTTGCACTGTGTCGTTTTGGATTTTGTAATCAGGAATCAAGTAATTTGTTGGGAAAACGATGAAGTGGCAATGTTTGAATGATTATGATTCGTGTCAATAAAATTATTTTTTTATTGACAGGAAGCCTGTTGAAATTGCAGATTATTTTTTGTTTGCATTTTAGTAGATTTAATAATCAGTCTGTAGAAAATATTTTGTTTCATATTTTTATTAAAAATGAAGCTTTAATTCAAATTTGCTAAAATACAGCATTTATTTTTTTAAATAAATCTTAGTGTGGTTTTGTTACTCAGAAATTATATTTAATATAACTGTTACTTTTACTCTATTACCAAGTTGATTAAACCATCTTTTATTAATTGAAAATATAAAACTGTTAACTTGTATTTGCAGAAGAGAAAAACAGTTCTATAACAGCACAATGTAATCGTCTTCAAGATGGTATAATGAAAATAGATGAAGCATCTGCACAAATAGATATTTTAAGTGCAATTGTAGCGGAACAACAAAAAAATGTTTCTATTGCTAGTGAAAAATGTGAATTAATGATCATTGATATTGATAAATCAACACAAAGTGCTAATACAAAAAAAGAAGAAGCATCGATACAGTCAAAAGATGTTGAAAATAAAGGTAAAATAATTGCTGTTGAAAAAAAAGAAGCTGAAGAAGCATTAGCAGAAGGATTACCAGCATTAGAGGCAGCACGGGAAGCTTTAGCTGATTTAGATAAATCTGATATAACAGAAATTCGTAGTTTTGCAACACCGCCAGAACCTGTTCAAATAGTATGCGAATGTGTTGCAATTTTAAAAGGATATAAAGAGATTAATTGGAAAACAGCTAAAAGTATGATGGCTGAAAGTAATTTTTTACGAAGTTTACTTGAAATGAATGCCGAAATTTTAACATCAAAACAAATATCCGAATGTCGTAAACATATGAAATTATCGACTAAATTAGATGAGATGCAATCAATTTCAAAAGCTGGTTACGGTCTCTTAAAATTTGTTAAAGCTGTATTAGGTTTCTATGATGTATATCGTGAAGTTAAACCTAAAAAGGATAAAGTAGAATATTTAATTGCAGAAAATGATCTACAAATTAAAACATTAGAAAATTTAAATACTGAAATTCGTAATTTAGAAGAAAAGATTATATCATTAAATGCACAATATACTGAAGCAATTAAAGAAAAGGATGTTTTAATGGAAATGATGAAGGAAGCAGAAAGAAGATTGGTAATTATAAAATATTAAATCAATTATATTTCAAACAAAGATTTATAATTCGAGAATTATTTTACAAATAAGAGTACGTATGTTCCTAATCACTTTATTTCTGTCTCACTAGGTTTAAAAATTGTACATTTCTTTATTTTTATTACATATCTTAAACTTACCAAGGTTATAATATTGCCGATATACTTTTAGGTTGCTTCTAATAAACTACTGAGTGGTTTAACATCAGAAAAAACTCGATGGGAAATTGAATTAGAAAATTTATACAAAGATCAAAATCAATTAATTGGTGAATGTCTTATATGTGCATCATTTTTATCATACACTGGTGCATTTTCATGGGAATATCGTAAAACAATGTTATTTTCTGATTGGCTCAATGATTTACTTGAACGTAATATACCAATACAAATGCCATTTAAAATTAATAACTCTTTGACAACTGACGTTGAAATATCATCATGGTCATCGCAAGGTCTGCCACCAGATGAATTATCCATTCAAAATGGCATATTAACATTAAGAGCATCAAGATTTCCATTGTGTATTGATCCACAATTACAGGCTTTAACATGGATTAAAAAACATGAAGCTAAAAATAATTTAAAAATATTATCATTCAATGATACCGATTTTACTAAACAATTGGAAATTTCTATTACATATGGAGGACCAGTATTATTTCAAGATGTTGATGACTATATTGATCCAGTTATTAATAATATTTTACAAAAAAATATATTATATCAAGCTGGTAGAAATTTTGTTGTTGTTGGAGATAAAGAAATTGATTATGATAAAAATTTTCGTATGTATTTAACAACAAAATTTTCCAATCCAATATTTAATCCATCAGTATATGCTCAGGCTATGGTAATTAATTATGCTGTAACCCAAACTGGTTTGGAAGATCAATTACTTAGTGTTGTTGTTAGAGCAGAACGTCCAGATTTGGAACAGCAGCGCGAAGAGTTAATAGAACAAACAAGTTTAAATAAGCAATTACTATCAAATTTAGAAGATTCGTTATTAAGAGAATTGGCAACATCAGCTGGGAATATGCTGGACAATGTAGAATTAATTGAAACTTTAGGTAAATAAGTCCTAAAAGACTAAGTGAAAAAAATAAAAACGTGATATGAAACCCTTAATTGTTGTAATTTAAAGAGTAATTTTTAACTGGAACTCCCAATTTTTTTCAATAAATTTTTGAAATATTCTAATAATTTTCATATAATCTTTACATATTTATGGCTATTAATATAAAACAAATTTTATATAAAATCAAAAACTCATTCGCTGGTTCTAAAAACTTTAAGGTACAATATAATTATTAATGATTGAAGGATTTACTAACCAAGTTTTTGTTAAGTTACCAAAAAGAAAGTTATTTTTTCATTCATTCAAGCTTTAATCTTTGCAAAATTTTACAACATATTTGTCACCCATATTATTAAATTTCAAAATACTAATTAGTGAAATTTGTTTTATTTAAAATTCTATGTTTATAGAATACATGAAATCATAAATACATGCCTTATTATTTCAATAAATCAACAATTTATTACAAATATATATTATAATATATATACATACCTAAATATGAGTGAATGACTAACAAACAAAACTAAATTTTTAATTTAATTTTTTAATTAGAACATACAAAAACAAAAGCATTTGCTGTACATGAACAGCTTGAATTGGCATCAAATACATCAAAGGATATCGAAAAATTACGTGATGGCTATCGCCCAGCTGCTAGACGTGGTGCAATATTATTTTTTGCTTTATCTGATATGTCAACTGTTAACAGCATGTATCAATATGCTCTCAATGCATATTTAGATATATTTTCATTTTCATTAAAAAAATCAATACCAGATTCAATGTTATATAAACGTTTAGAAAATATAATTGGCACATTGACAGAAAATGTTTACTGTTATGGTTGTACCGGTATATTTGAACGTCATAAATTATTATTCTCATTTCAAATTGCTACAAAATTAGAAATAAATGAAGAGCGAATGAAACAGAATGAACTTGAATTTTTTATAAAAGGAAATTTGGTATTGTCAAAGTCAGAACGTAAATGTCCATCAAAATGGTTAACAGATACTAATTGGTCAGATATATTAAAATTATCAAGTGATTTTCCAGATCCATTCAAAACATTACCAGAAAATATTGAGGAGAATATAAATGAATGGAAAATGGTAAATTTTATGAAATTTATTAAATATTTTGATTTTTCTTGTTGTTTTAGTTATATTTCAATTTATTGTAAAGGATAATCAGTTTAATTTTGTTTTAGCAAAATTTATATACAACTAGGTTTTGCTAGTAGGCAAAAATATAGGAAAATCATAAATTGTAAAAGTTTTAAAATACTTCTTTTGACTATTCTTTGCATGTTTTTTAATAATTTTTTTAGGTAAAATTTTTATCATAAAAAATTCCATTAAATTGCTTCTTTAACTCCACTTTTATTTGCCTGCAAATAATATTTTCAATTGTAACCTTTCAAGTATTTTGAAAAAAAAAAAAACAAGAATTCAATTCAAAAATGGTATTGTTTTAAAATTTAATTAATTATTGTGCAATTGATGTAAGTAAAGAATTTACACTTTATTTTTTCTTTCATAAGACAAACTATAGGTAGATAGCAGGACATTCAATATAAAAGTATATAAAACGTTATTGTATTTATACATTTATTTTATTATAATAGAGAATATAAAAATCATAAAATATGTTATATAATCCATTATAATGGTAATAATTAATTTAACTTTTTAGCTCATCTTAAAGGCAAATCATAAATTAAAAAAGAATAATAATCCCACTTAAGTATCAGCTATACTGCCTCTTAAGATTATATTTAATTACTAAAGATTATATTCATATTTTTCTCTTTTTGACATCCTATATACACATAAATCTGTTCTATTATATGTCCTCCTGAGTGTTTTATATATGTATATACATATTTTTGTTTTTGTTTCTGAATATAAGACAATTTCATTTATTTACTTAATTACCTCGAATATCTAAAGCTGTGAATCTTAACTACTATAATTTTAAAACCGTATAAAATTATATAAAAATTTTTTTTTCTTGTGATTTTTATTATATTAATAAATATGAGTTATTTTCTTTTATTGTCGTCAGTCGTCTTGCTGTTAAAATTTTTATCTATTAACGAAACTAAAATAAATACAATTAAGTATTTATTTCAAAAAAAAAATTCTTATTTTCTTCTATTCTTTTTGTTTTACGACAGTTAAATCATCGCATTGATGAGGTTTATAATTGCAATAATAGGATATTGAACATTAACAATATCAAGCAGAATATGTTCTTTGATCTGGAAAGTTGAGATTATTAATACATGAATACTCTTGAATTACTAATTTGGTTTCAATAAAATTCAAGCTAATATAGTAGCGACAGCTAAGTTTTTATTATAAAATATATTAGAAAATTTAATCTTATATTCTATAGTTTAAGAGACTGGAAGCTAGGGAGCTAAAATAAACTAAAAATAAAATTGTAGCGTCTAAGAGGCAATTTTTTAATTGGAATTTTTCATAATGTGTTCAATATTATATTTATAAATTTAAAATAATTTATTAAAAATATGTTATGAACGTAATTTTGAAGGATTTATAATATCATGGATAAATTTAATATGAGTGAGAATTTGAAAATAGAGAAATAATATTACAAAAAGTTATATAATTCAAGTGAAAAAGATGTTAACGGATTAAAAATAAGAAATGACAAATAAATTTCCTGTTGTTTTTCTTTCTCTTTCCAACATTTCTGTTTTTAGTATATTTCTAAGTTTTTATATAATATTTTCAGTTTACTTTTGTAATTTTTATTAAAAAAGTTGTTAAAGAACAATAAAATAAAGTAAGAAAAAGAAGGAAATAATAAAAATAATAAGAGAAAGAGAAAAAAGTATCTCTTTATATCTTTTTCATTCTTCTCTATCTAAACTGATTCTCCTTTATTTCTTAAATTTATTACATTCTATTTTCTTCTCAGATTTTTTAATTTTTTTTCTTTATTTTTAGTGGTTTGATTTGGAAAACCCTGAGGATTATCCATGTCCTGGAGATTTTAATGTTATATGCAATGAGTTTCAGGTGAGATCTTATACTTTTAATTACAAAATTTACGTTTTTAAACTTAAATGCATGTCTGTTTTTCAAAAAATATAGTGAATAAAACACTTAATGTTATTATCGTGAGAGCTATTGTACACTTTTTATACGATATAAGATCAGAAACTAAAATTTAAGAGAAAAATAAAATTTACTTATTAGTTATTACATAAAAGTTCCTTCTAATACATAGTTAACAGTTAGTATTAATCACTGTTATGTAAAATACATAAAAATTGTTGATTAAAATTTAATAATTGAAATGAAAATTAAACAAAATTCATTAACAAAACAATTTATTTCATTTTTTCTTTTCTTACTTTTTTTTTAGAAATTAATGTTTATGAGATGTTTTCGAGTTGATAGAATTTACCGTTGTGTCAATAATTATATTAACGGACTTATGGGAGAGCATTATGTTACACCGCCTGTTATAAGTCTTGTTGCAATATTTGAACAAACAAATTGTACAATGCCGGTTTGTTTCATATTAAGTCCCGGTTCTGATCCTACAAATGAATTAATGAAATTAGCAGAAAACTATGGTGGTGGTATTGGAAATTTTCGATATATTTCATTGGGTCAAGGACAAGAAAAGGTAAATATATTAAGGTGATATAAAATCTTTTTTTTTAAATTATTTTTTTTCTAAAATGAAAAGTTTGAGCTATAATAATACTATATTCGTGTTTAGAGACTGTAGAATGTATTTATTTTAAAAATCGCAAATAGTGTGAAAATTCTAAAAATTTCTACAATTAACAATGATTTTCTTTCAAACATACCTTAACAATAGAAATTTAACTATTTTTAAGTAAAAATTTTTGTTTTGTTCTGCGGTAAAATCAAAAATTCTGACGTTCATTGTGTTCATTTTTTAACTATGTATTATGGGCCGTAGTAAATTTAATTTAATTCACATAATATACTAATTAAGAAAAACGCTCTACATCTAACCTACATTATTGCTGCAATGATAAAAAAAATTAAAAAATAGAAATCGCTGCATCCTAAAATAAATAAAGTAAAATTTAAAAAAAAAAAGTTTTTTATTTGTCAAATATGAAATTCTTTTATTTTTTTGTTACATTTTGTCAGTTTGTAAAATAGTAAAACTCCAATATGAAAAAAAATACTAAATTCGTGATATAGAAAAGGAGATTTTTTGTTTAATTTTTTTTTTTTTTGAAATAACACTATTAATATTCTATTTAAAAATATTTCTAAAAACATTGTAGTTAGTTTATTCGGCCAATTTTCATTTGACGTTGTTTTTTCTATATTATTTATTTGTATTTCAAATCACGTAAGCTGGCAAACCGAATATTCACTATTTCAATAACAATTTTTTTTTTTCAACTCTTCCATATATGCAGATTAAATCGCATTCATTATACATTTTATCCACAATGTATTCCAGTATACAAATATACCTATGTACATCATCAATAAAATAAAATTTCTTGTAAAAAAAAATTACAAACCAAAACTAAAATCTAATCATCTAAAAATAATAATTCAATATTTACAAAACGTGTCATTTTTTCCGTATTTCTATATCTGCATGCAAGTAATAAGTTTTATTTTAAAGCAATAATCATAAAATAGCACATTTCTTAAAAGAATCCCGTTAATAACTGAAAATTCAAAAAAAGTAAGTGTTTATTATATAATACAAAGCCTAATAATTTAACACAAAAATTAATGTAGATTGAAAGCCTAATGATTTACGAATATTTAAGAAGCTCATTGAGATATTAGAAAAGAAATGAATTAATTTTAAATTAAATAACAAAACAATTAATTGAGAATTTAGTTAATTTGCCGAAAACGCAAAAGATCCCTTTTTTAATCTAAATTTACATTGAAATTTTACGAATTTCATTGAAATTGTATCCTTACAAAAAATTAACATATTATTAAAAATATTTTTTTTTTTAGAAAGCGTTCGAATTATTGGATGCTGCAATATCATCAGGATATTGGTTAATGCTACAAAATGGTCATTTATTAATACCATTTATTAGATCATTAGAAAAATATTTAGAGAAAGTTGAAAATCCACACCCCAAATTTCGATTATGGATAACCACTGATCCAACTTCTACCTTTCCAATTGGAATTTTACAAAAGTCCTTAAAAGGTAACATTTTTATTCCTTCATTTTGTATGAAACAATATAAATTATTCTTTGCAGTTGTAACGGAATCCCCAAATGGTTTAAAATTAAATTTACGTTCAACATTTTTTAAATTAAAGCAAGAAACACTTGATTCGTGTACTCACAGTACTTTCAAGCCATTAGTTTATACTTTAGCCTTTTTCCATGCTGTTGTTCAGGTAATTTTAAATATTTTATAAGTAATAAACTTGTTAATAATAATGTATTAATATTAATTTAACTAATACTATTCATTGCAAAAGAAAGAGTTTTGGTGTACCAAGACAATCTGTATTTTTATAATTATTTTAACTTCTTTCCAACCGCATTGCATACAATAAGGGAGGTTTCGTGATGGCATTAAATTTCACATGTGGAGTTGTTTTCGTTGTTGGATGTGTTTTCGGCGGAAAAGGCTTTCTCAATGTTACAGATGCGTAAATAAAGTTCTCTCTGCTATTACCGTCTATCTCGATTTGTCTGTCAGTCTGGCCGTGCAGAACGACTTTATTGAAATTTCGTATATAAGTTTAATTTGACCGTGAGACGGATTGATCAAATTCTGGAATATGTCAGACTGGAATTTTTTATAGGCCAATTTTACATATTTGATTTTTTTGAAGAAGATATTAAACCGATTAACTTGAAATTTTAACAAGCCAAAAAATTTTGGAAGAAATTAGGAGTCAGCAACTGGACTCGTATTATGGGCTAAATTTATATTTTTAAGTTATTTAAAACACATGCTTGTGCAAAATTTTTTCTAAACTACGGTAGGTTATGTTCTGATCACATCATATATAACATCATATATTAGACTACAAAAATACTTTGAGAAAATTTTTTGATGAGAAACGTTTAACTCTGTAACATATTATAAACGCAAGAGTATCACGTTCGCAAGAGAAGCGAACATTATAACGTTCTTCATAAAATTAAAAAATAATCTAAGCAGTCAGACTAATTAATTTTTTTCAGAATAACTTTATTAATAATATTAATTTTTTGTTACAGGAACGAAGAAAGTATGATAAAATTGGGTGGAATATTTCTTATGATTTTAATGAATCCGATTTTGATGTTTGCGTACAAATTCTTGGATGTTATTTAGGCAAAGTTATAGGAAAACAAAAAATACCATGGAATAGTTTAAAATATCTGATTGGAGAAGTAAATATATTAGATATTTATTATTAAAATTATAATGCTTATACAACTCCGAATCCATAATTAAACTCCTCACTTAAAATATTTAACTACGTATTACATTTGTTTCTAAATTTTAATGAATTTCATACTCTTTAAAACTTAAGTTCCATACTCTTAACAAATCTTCAAATATTGGTTTCATCTCGATTATTTATTTTAAATTAATGAAGTTTCTTGAATATTCACATATATTTTGATTTTTAAATAAATGTCCTTCAATTTTAACTACATTAAAATGTAAAAGTGGATTTTTTTTATTACAAAATCAATATAAAAAATAATTCGCTTCTATACAAAGTTTATTGTTTTCTTTGAATCGTGAATATTTTAAGCAACTTTTAAAGTCATAAATGTTAACGCATCAAAAAATTTTGTGAGAAATTTATATTTATAAGTTCAATTATGATTTCTAAAATAACTCATAATGATTTTACAAAAAAATTTAAATCAAAAAATGAAGGAAACTGATTTTTAAATATTTAAAAAGAAACCTCAATTTTAAATTCACCAACATGTTAAGATTAGAATTATTAATTTAACTTTATATTATTCTTTTAGGTGATGTATGGGGGACGTGTTATTGATGATTTTGATCGTCGTATTGTTCAAGCTTATATGAATGAATATATGGGTGATTTTCTATTTGATGTTTTTCAACCTTATCATTTTTATCACGATGATAATGTTGATTATTTTGTTCCTCTAAAAGCTAAGGAAAAACAAGATTTTATTGGTAAGAAATTTGATTAATTTTAGAGATTACTTAAAAGTAGAGCCGATAAAAGTAAAATACGTTATACAAAAAATTCATCACGCATTAAGTTGATATTTTCAGCAGCAACAAATTTGACATTGTCTTATATGTACGATACATAAACCAATTTATTTATGATTTTTAGCTCATATCGAAAAATTACCAATGATTAATAAGCCAGATGTTTTTGGTTTACATCCAAATGCAGAAATTGGTTATTATACGCAAACTGTTAAAGATATGTGGACGAATTTAATTGAATTGCAACCGCAAACAGGTAAAAGAGTACAATATTTAAAATATTTATTAATTTAATTTAATAAATATTTTTTTAATATTGTTAAGATAAAAATATCCAATTAATTTAATTTTAAGAAAAAATATTATAAAATTTAAAGTTTTTAATATTATAAAATTTAGAAAAGGCAGTAACAAAACTTGTATACCTACACATGATAAACCAAAAATGTCTTATTCTGTGTCATTTAAGCTTGAATTTTTTATTGTAAATTGAAATTATTTTATTATTATAATTAAGTAGGTACCAGAATTTAAATTAAAGTGTAACAATATTTAAATTTTTACAAAAATTAAGCAATAACAAGAGTTCTTTGTTTTTATCCTCATCTTTTTGTTTCTCATCATAAAACATTAAATTAAAAATTATGTTTTCAACTGATTGTCGCATATAATCAACATTAAACACACCTGAAATCATTAAACAACTTAACACATTTTGTCATGTCAAGTGAGAGTATGGAGTAAAAAAGAGAATGGTAAAATAACAAAATTTATATGCACAAACATTGTGTATGCTTGCGTTAACATACTCACGAACACATTATATTTTTATTATGAATGAAATTAGTGTAATGACTCTGAAAATGTTGGTTTCTATTTTGTTTTTCAGATTTTTCATTGTCTGCTTTTGTTCACTGATGTATGCTTTAAATTTTTATTTCAATTTCCTATTTTCTTCTTTTTTCATAAGTTGGTCCTTGAATTTGCGTTAATTTTCTTTTTTTTGTGGATAAATTGCAAAATGATAAAGAAATTTAAAAACGTTTATTTCTGTTTTTATTATTTAATCCCATAGTTTTGTGTAGAAATTTTTTTGTAGAAATATTATAAGTTTTATGGTTAAATTATAATTTAAAAATAATGAAAACTTCAAGAGAATTTAAAATATCAAAAATAAATTGCTTGCGTCACTTTTTTCCATTTTTGTTTTATTTCCGTTTTTGACTGTGGATTAAAATGAAATTGATTTCTTATTATATAAATGAGAATCATATAAATCATTAGAATACAAGGTATACCAAAAGCAATGGTATTCTCGAAGAATGTTGAAAAAATGGGCTCGAACGAACTAAAACGGATATTCTAATGTTCATTTATTTTTTCTTTTCTTCCTCAAATTATTGAGCAACAAAATCAGATTATACTTTAATCATTATGTGCTCCACTTTTTGAATTTTTCCAAAAAAATTTTGAAAAAAAATGCTTATTAGTTTCACTCTGCCCGTCCGTCCGTCAATCTGTCCGTCCTTGGACATGTTTACAAAACTTCTACGTTCTTGAAGATAGAAAGCTGAAATTTTATATGTATATAGATCTTTACTAGAAACTTATTTTCGTAAAAAAAATGTTTACCTATTCCCGTCCCTCTAAAAGTTACATTTTTATAGGGGAGAAGATAAATTATAAAAGTTATATTTTTGTTCTTAAAATTATTGAATTCCACAATATATCTGAATTTGAAGGAAATTATGGTTTTTTGTTTTGTTAGAATTTTAAACGTTTTTCCAACTTTCTTTGAATTCTTAAGTTTTTTAAATTTTATTTAAATATTTTTTAAATTTTTGTTTTTTTATATTTAATATTGATTTGTAGTGCAATATTATTTTAATAGTTCACTATTAATCATAATCACATTAAAGTTTTATACTGTGTTGTTATTTCCAATTTCATTGCATACCGTATTACATAATTTAATTAATTTTTAAATAAAATTTTTTTAATAGATACTGGAATGGGTGGTGTGAGTCGAGATGAATTTATTGATGACATTGCACAAAATATATTAAAAAAACTTCCTCCACAATTTCAAGTATGGCGTATTAAAAAAGCATTAGCTGTTAACCTTCAACCAACCGGAGTTGTTTTAATACAAGAATTAGAAAGGTTTAATCTTCTTTTAGAAAGAATAAAAAAAACATTGGATTTATTGAGAAAAGTAATTACTTATGTGGCTATGAATATTTTTAAAATTGTTTAATTAGTGTTGGTTTGACTGCAGGTATAATTACTTTCAAAACTATTTTCTTAACATTACAGAAATCCTTATTGTATATAAGTTATTTTAAATTGTACGGGATTAGAAAGCGGTTATCAAAGTTAGAAATTTTTATAATTTATTAGAAATTTAAATAACCACGAACAAAGAAATTTTTTTTAATTTCTAACTGTGATAATCAATCATAATGATTATTGGTTGAATTTCAACAACTATGAAGGTTGTCCAGCAGTAAAACTGATCAAATTGCCTAATTAATATCATTCCTTTTTAAATCCTGTAGATTTTTTATTTAAAAATGCACACAAAAAGTTTTCCCTTTGCTTATACCTATTTTTGTGTATTCACGGTGTTTTCGTATAAGGTGACAAATAATTTCAGGAATGATTTTTTGATCAATTTCCAGCAGAAATTGTACATGCGACCTAGAGTAACCATCGGTGGCTTGTTTTACAGAATTCTTTATTTTCAGTTTTATAATCAATATGATTTAAAACATAGTTTTCAAGAAAAACCTCACCAAAGCCAGTCAATTTTTTCCGGAATTTGTTTAATAATGTTTTTTTTTGGTTTTTTTGATGCACCACAAGGAGGTCTAAAAGTGAATCCTGATAATATTTTCTTCTATCTCTCATATTTTTGCAAGCAAAACGTGTTATAAACGAAAAATGCATATTTCATACATGTAAAACAAGCCCCTGATGATTACTCCATACCGCGTAATTCTGAAGTTATAAGCATTTATTAACATGCAGGAAAAATCTGGTACTTTTTTTTTCAACAGCCTGTAACTCGAAAGCGGCAATACACTCTAGCAATACAATTTTTTGCGGGAAATTGACCAAAGACTCATTCCTCAAATTATTTGTCACCCATCCTAAACACCCTATATTATTACTTCTTCGTAACTTGAAATTCTTTACACAATCCTATTTGTAAATTGAAATTATTTTCTGGTATAAGTGTTTGCCTATTGGTGTGAAAATTTAAAATATTTTTTTTTATTTAAATTGAATGTTCTTGTCTATTTTAAAAAAAATTTACTTTGTATGGACATATACTCGTATGTACGTATCCAAAGAACGAATAATCAAAATTTCAATTTTATTTTTGTTGAAATTTTTTCATATTTTTATATTATTGTTTTAATATTCACCACTTACAATACATAAATTAAGAAATAAAATTTATTTATATTGAAAACAATGAAATTTTATCTTTTCTTCTATTAAATTTCAATTGTACTCCATTGTTTGGAATTTAAAAAAAAAAAAAGAAATTCCATACTCCTATTTTATTCTAAAATCATTTGAAACTTTCTACATAAATCAATTGAAAATTTTTGGAAAAAAAAAAGAAATGTGGGTATGATGATATTAAAATATAAAAACACAATTAAGTAAATTAAAATAGAAATTTAATACAAAGTGTTCCCTTTTTAACAAGAATTCTTTCTTATTAGTAAACAATCAAAATTTCTAAAATAACAAACAAACTATCTCCGACTTGAGGAGTCGTACGTATTTGATTTTACATAGTTTCAAAAATTTTACCTTAGAAAAACATTACAAATTTTGTGCCCTTTGTAGCTCTTTATTTTTAGGCCATATTTTGGTTTTCATTGTTAAAAAATTTATTCAAGTTTCAAAATATTAAAAATTTTTTACAATTACTTACATTTGCAACACTTGGAAGAAATTGAACAATTTAGATATAATTTTAAATAAGATTGTTGTGATTTAATATGGAACAATTGTATTAAGAAAATATTCAATTCGGACCTAACATGCCATACAAGAAATTAAAATCGAAAAGCCTTTAAAAACCATTAAGAATCTATACCTTTTTTCTATATAATTATTTGGCAACCTTTAGATTCTTGATTTGAGAAGTATGAAAAATATAAATGCGATAACCTTGTTGAAAGTTTTCATTCATATTTGCATATACTCTTATATTTTCTATCTCTCTTAAAAAATATAATTAAATTTTTATTTTTTTTAATTTTCAAATATACTTGATCAAATTCTATATGGGTGGTATAAGCATCGAATTATAAAATAACTTTAGAAGGTCCAGAGATCTTACGCTCAACATACATATACCTATATATTTATAACATTTTAAATATACTATATTGCAGATGGCTTACATCAAAGATAAAGTTTTTAATAAAATTGATAATCATCAATATAATCATTATCAATATGTAAAAAATTTAATAACAAACTCTTTTTACACTCTTTTTTTTCCGAAAACTATTTATATTCAAATTAGAAAAATTTTATTTCTCTATTTTTTTGTTATTTCTAAATATTTTATTTTCATTTTAGATTTTGTTTAATTATTATGTAAATAATCCTTTGAAAACTATTGTTATCCTGAAAGTATTTTAAAATATTTTTTATTTCTCTTTTTCAAATATTGTACTTGAAAATATTTCGTACATATATATGTATATAAAATATTGTAGAATAATTGAATTGGGGAAAAAAAATTTTTTTTTAAAATTTCTAAAATATTCCAAAATCTCTTTATTATTATTTTATATTATTTTTTATTATTATTGTATAATTTCAAATGTTGTTGTTGTTTTGCAATTGTATCTAAATAGAAAAATTGTTCATATAATGTTTAATTTTTTTTTTATTTAATTTTTTTAAATATTTGTGTAGGCTATTTCAGGTGAAATTGGTATGGACAATGTTTTGGATAATATCTCAAATTCTTTATTTAATGGACATTTGCCAAATGATTGGAGAAAATTGGCACCGGCTACACGAAAAATACTTGGTACCTGGGTGGAACATTTATTGGTACAATTTTACAACATAATTAAAAATATTATATTTTTAAATTTATAATTATATTATACTTATTATATACTGACATATATATATTGCGTATATGTATATAATATGTTTATTTATTAATAATTATAAAACAAAAGAAATTTTAAATTATGAAAATTTAATATAAATTATGAAAATTAAATATAATGTAGGCGTACAATATTTACAAAAATATGTGAGCAATAATCTATCATATTTATTTTTAATAAATAACATTTACGGAACAATTTGTTAAGATCAGAAAATATGTAATAAAATGGAACCAAAATTATGTTATATTAGATTCAATTAAATATTTGCATTTCATACATATTATTGTGAAATTTAAAATTTCGTTAATTAAAATTCAATAAATTTTTATTTAATTAATTACTAATTTACATTTTTATAAGAAATCTGGTACAATAATTAATTCTAAAGTTTTAAGTTTCACATTATTATTGCATTATTAGTAATTGCTTATTTCCACTTTTAATTTTAAAAAACAAATCCACTTTGCATAATATTGTAATTTCGAAATTATAATAGTAAATTGCAGTTTGAGAGCAATAAACTTCAGAAATAAGATAAATAAAAATTTTTTTTTTAATAAATTTCGGACATTTCAAACAACATTGCATAATTTGTAAATTTAGGTCTATAAGGATATTTTACTAGAACAATATGTAATTCATCATTAACATAACCATAAAAATTTGTTTCCCTTAAGAAAAATGTTCATCACACCTTTAAATTTCAAGAATTGCTAAATTATTTAGATTTTATTACTTTTTATTAAATTATTTATTATTTTATTTTAAAACTGACTGCTCTAATATTGAAACTTGCGATATTTTTATATTACTTACATTAAAATAAAATAAGGAATATTTATCACAATTTTTATCCTAGGCAACTGTCTAATGCAAGTTAATGACAAGTTAAAATATTTTATATTTTAGAAACGTGCCACACAATACAAATTTTGGGCATCATCTGGTGAACCAATGGTAATATGGTTATCTGGATTACATATACCAGAAAGCTATTTGACAGCATTAGTTCAGGTAAATTTTTAAATTAAATACAATGTTATATTTGTTAAATTAGAATAACTGGAGTGCTGCAAATGTATAATGACCCAAAATATTCTCAAAATAATGTTTCTAACTCCACAAACGCCTTATACACTTATGTATCGCGAAAATGCTTAAATAGAGTAATTAAAAGAATATTTAATCTCCATATTAATCAACTAAATTTTTCCAACAACAAAACTATACAGAACATTCAAGTTAATTCACAAAAACAATATTTTCCTTACTGTGATATTAATTTAAAATCATCATAAACAAAAACATTCTTTACTGTTTTTATAAAAGACCTATACTTATATTCAAAAATGCGTTATATATGTATATTTTAACCTAGTTGCATTAAATAACAATTAATTAAACGGTTAAAACATACGTTATGGCTTGGTAAATTTTCATATTTACATAAAAATACAAACATTATTACATACCATTTATACAATGTACTGCAATTTCTGTAAAGCTTTAGATTATTGTTTATGCACATACACTTATTTTTGAGGCAACAAAAAAAATAGAGTTTTAATTTCTACACCTATTATAATATAGCGACTACATTTGTGTATTGTGCGGTTAAAGGTAATTCTGCATAGATTACAAATGTAGGAAATATATGGCAATTACGAAATACATACAAAAAGCCAAAACATATGGAATTAAAGTTATATTTCAAAAAATAAATTTTTGCATTTCATAAATAGAAAGAATAAATTTTCACCTGTTCAAAAAAAAATTATTTATTTTATACGTTTTTCATTTTGTTGTTTTTTTTTTCGAAAATTTTTGCAGATTGCTTGTCGAAAGAATGCTTGGCCACTGGATCGGTCAACATTATTCACAAATGTAACAGAAAATATAGATCCTGATGATGTCGAGGAGAGACCACCAACAGTAAATAAATATATATATATATTTTTAATAAGTCCTCTTTTTTTTTAAAAAAAAAAAAGTAATACCTACAATAAACTAAATGTAATATTTTTTTAGATTACAATTTCATAAAGAAAAAATTTTGTAGCAACATGTAAACTAAGAGCTGAATGTTAAAATTATTAATTAAAATGTTAGTAAAATAACTGCAATTTATGGAGGATTGAAGTTATTTTGACAACATGAATTCATTTCATTGAAAAGAAGCAGCCTTTTTTTATATCATTAAAAAAATCTAATCGAGCGGTTCCCATTTGAAAATGATACGTTAATATAGATTGTAATCGATTTTAAAAATTAATTATCACGTCGATCGACTGATTCGATCATGAAACTTGTGAGTGTACAATTAGTGACTGTTAGTTTGTCTGGCTACCATGGTGTTTTGATTTCATCTCAACTTACAAAGCAAAACGGGCTCTGACGAATATAAATCCACCATCTTAATATTTATTTAAGTTAATAAATCTGAAAAGAAGATGGATATAAAATCTTACCCTGGCCTTAATAAATTACTGATATTTCCCATTTTTTGTTGCTTATGGAACCTAAATCTTAGATATTTTTTAATTTTTTATATTTTTTTGCACCAGAAGTGTAGTAGAGCTTCAAATATTCTACATAAATAAATATTGAATATTCAACATAATTGAATATCTAACAATCATACTCATAAACTACATTAATCCGGTGACAATTCTTGAATTCTCGTGTTTTTATAACATAAAATAAAAATTTAAAATTGCTGACGGCCAGGAATACGAGGTATTGTTTGAATCCCGTAACTAAACAGGGTTTGTGTCTTAGTCTATGAATAAATAACTAGATTATAAATTGTTAACTCTTATCTCTTTATCTACATGGGATTATATAAAAGTAAAACAATTACGAAAAAATAATAGAAAATTCAAAATTGTTATTTATAAAAAATTATTTTAAAAAATTTTAACTTTTTATTAATAAAAAACTATTGTGTCCATTTTTCTTTCTTTTAATAAATTTATTTTATTTTGTTTTTCTTTTTTTTCTGTTTTCAAATTCCATTTTATACGATTTAATTAATATTAAATCCACCTAAAAGGGATGTTACATTCATGGACTTTTTATAGAAGGTGCACGATTTGATTTGAAAACTATGCAATTAGCTAGATCTTTACCAAAGGTTTTAGTGGAAGATTTACCAATATTAAGTGTAACACCAATTGAAGCACACAGATTAAAATTAACGGTAATTTTACTAATAAATTTATTTGCATAATATACGAATAAATTTTTCAAATATAAATTTTAATTTATTTTTTAAATGCAAATTTTATAATCCTTGATATTTTTCTAGAATGAAATTTATGTTAGGTAAGCCTGGTTAGGTGTTAAAAAATATTCAAATTTTTTGTGCATATTATTTTATTTTAAAATTTTCACATACATATTTATATGTAGATATGTATATATTATAATTTTAATTAATTTAATTTTTAATTTAAAATATTGTTGTTGAAAATATTCAAGGCTCTTACTCTATATAAATACACAGTGTGTCAAATGATTTGTTATGATATTATTATTGCCTTTCAAGGACTTTTACAAAAAAAATTTTTGAAAAAAAAAATGTTTATTAGTTTCAATCTGTTCATGAATCCTTCCGTCAGTTCGTTCGCCCGTCCGTGTGCCTGTTGCCAAAACCTCTAAAATTAACGGTTATTTAAAAACCATTTTTTTCGAATTTTTGGTATCGTTTTTCTTCTTTCAATAAATCGTATATTCAAGAAATTTTACCAACTTTTATATATTTGCAAATTATTTTGTATATTAAAAGAAAATTTTGGAGTGCAAGCTTCTCCAAATTTCTATAAATTTATAGAGCTTACGGTAAATTGCATGCCATCAAATAATGTAATTGTTTAACTTAAATTACGTAGTTAACCCTTAAATTCTATAGCACTTTCATATCCTTGATTCTCTTGTTACATCCTAAACGTATGCAATAATTTAAATAACGTAACAGATTGTTTTTAAAAACAGTAATTTCACTTATTGAAGTAAAAAGTGCTTTAATATACGAGTAAATATGAAAAATTATAATACCTAATTTGGTCAAAATTTTGTATAGTTTGTGGACAATAATATCGAGAGACTTACACAAGTTTGTTTTTAAACTAAGAATTTTCATAATTTAAATTAATAATTATTTCGCTTTAACTTAATGCACCGTTATGTGACTCATTATAGTTTTAAAATTTTTTACTAATTTTTCCAATATACCATTTTTATTTTTAGAATACATATCGTTCACCTGTTTACACAACTTCGTTGAGAAGAAACGCCATGGGTGAAGGTTTTGTATTTGAGGCAGATTTAGCTACAAGTGAACATGTAAGTCATTGGATTCTTCAAGGTGTTTGTTTGACCTTAAATGCTGATTAAATTTACAATTAGAAAGACTGAAATTTATTGAGATGAATTTTTTTATAACATTTAAAACCAATAATTTTTTATACAATTTTCCAAATACTATATTAAATTACAATTTCCAATATTTAAAACTTATTACCTATTTTGTATTTTTTTTTTACTACATAAAAAAATCAAAAATTTAATAAATGAAAAACGGACATTCTTGTTAAATTTAAAAAAAAAATAGTTTTTTAATCATTTCTATTATGGTTTATTGTGAACGTTCAAAGATCGGTAGCTTGCTACTTCCCCCGGGTGTTCATTTCAATGATGAATGAAAGATTTAATAAAACTGTTCTTTTGATGCTATGTAAATGTAAATCAGATTCTTATTTAGATTCAATAAAATCAAAATTATGTTGAAAAATCAGAAACTCTAGAGTTCATCATGTCAGCTCTGTATTACCCGTACGAAATTTTTAATGCTAAATAGTTGCAGTATTACCATATAAGTTTATGCAAAATTTTAGTAATTTCAAGAGTTTCTAAAATCTAAGATACGTGTGGCAGCTATCTACTAAAAGAAATTAGGGAAATTTTAACGGTTTTTATCACACATAACCACTCCAATAATATGTTTGCTTGTACGAAATTTCAATATTTTAGTTTCAATAATTTCTGAGATATAGGTAAATAATATTTGAAGTTACAGGGCAGCTATCAAAACCACTGCCCCGATTCAATTTTAATACAGTTCCAGCACTTACTATTATAAATTATTTGTGAAAACTTGGTGAGTTTCGCTCAAATAGTGTTTGAGTTAGAAAATGTAGAATATTAACTTTGGAAAAATTAAAATTTCTGCTATTAAAAAAACCTGTTATGTAACAGTTTCCTTAAACAGGTGTTTAAGGTGTTAAGCTAAAGCTTATTAGAGTAAATCCAAAGTCCTAGCTATACTGCTACTAAATGTGCTTTTATATCGAATATGATATAACAAGCCAAAACCCTGTAGTATGTGATTACGCACTAAAATTCTTTGAAATCATGATTAACGTAAGCAACTGTACAAAATTGATTTGCTTCCAATTATTAAAAAAAAACTAAAAGTTGTTAATTAATTTTTAAGAAATAAATTTTTAATTTTTTTTAACTCTTTTAATCTGAGTTGGTTTTCTTTATGTTATAATACATAAGTACGTACTTTTAGATCAAACTTTTTTCCTTCACATATTTTAATTATGGGCATTAAATTATAGTGCTGTTTTTGGATATATATATATATATCCAAAACATCACTATAATATTTTGGATATATATATATATATATATATATATATATATATATAATATATATATACAGAATAGTAAAAAGGGATATTGAAAAATAAAACTCAAATAGCTGTATAACAAAATATTCCAGTTATCGCATTTACATTATTATTCTTTTAAATGAAAAAGTCCTTTATAACAAAAGCCTGTAAAGAATGAAAAATACGTAAAAAATAAAGTCCCAAAATAATATTAGGGGGAAATTTTTTCAAATACATTTTCTTTTTCATTCTGCGCAACCCTGCTTTTTAAAAAATTCTGTCATATAACAGTCAAATGAAAAATTCCTTAATATAATTCCGTATAATAAGTACTATATGGAAACTAGTGAAAAATCAATAAATTTTTCATAATAATTTGACAGTTTAAGTTTGACATTTAAACAGTTGTTTTATTTCAGTGTTAGTAATATTATAATGCAGTTCTAAAGTTTTATTTTTAAGAAAATATTAAATAAAAATATTTCAAAATTTCATTAAATCAAAATTAAATTAAAATTATGGTTGATAGCGGTTTCGATAGTGAAGAAAAATTAAGTTCGATTTTATATGAAAAAGACCAGGTAAATGTAGATTAATTTTCTATTTACACTTTGTTTTTTAGTCAATTCGAGGAAATTTCTATGTACCTACATATATTTTCTTATTGCTTATACGTAGGAAGATGCCAACAAAGCATATGAAAGTGACGATGAAGATGAATCTTCAAGTAATAATAGTTTAGAAATAACATTTCGCGGAACAAATGATTATAATAAACAGGATAATGAACTGCAAAAATTACAAAAGCAACAGCAACAGCAACAACCACAGCAACCTTTTAAAGTAATTAAGAACTCACAATTGAATAGTTGTAGAATTTTACAAAGAAAATTAGAATTAAAAGTTGAACGTGCCAAAAAAACTTACAATCAATATCAAGAAGTCGAAAATGTGAGTACTTACAAGTTTATTTTTTGTTTTATTGGATGTTATTAGAATTTCAGACTCAGAGGACACGCACACATAATATGCACACGTATAAACATAATATTTTTCTAAAACCATATTTTTTTAGAATATTAACTATTTTAATATAACATACACATAAATATATATGTTTATATATTTGTAATAGCAATTATTTATACTCGTAATGAAAGGAATTTAAAGAATTTAATTAAAAAAGTTTCTTACATTTTATTTCATTTTATAATAATTTATTATTTTAATTTTTTTTTATAATAGGCTAAAAAGAACAAGTCTTCCAATTTGATTCCAATTAATCGATTACAAATTCCAGGATATTCAGAAAATCAACCATTAGTTGATTATAAATCAGACAGGTAAATTTATTTATTATCTATTTATCTTGTATACAATGAATAATTGCAAAAAAAAAATGGGAAGACTTTTAAATTATTACAGTGCTTTCGAAAAAAATTTGAATAGCAATAAATTTTAAATTACTATTTTTTGTGTAGAAGTTTTAATTACATACAACTCTAGAACTATTAAAATTCAAATGAATAATATGTTAGTATTAACCGTTGTAGTGCTAAGCCATTTTTGTGAATATATATGTATATGAAAATTGGTGTACATTTTTTGATTATTTTAAAGGAAAATTAATGGTGTCAAATAAAATACTCTAATTCACACAAAAATATCAATCAAATAACTATAATTCTTTTTTTAGTACAATGAACAAATGTTTTGTGATACTTAACATAAAATATCATGTAGTACTTTTTTTTCTTTTTGGAAATGAAAATTATAAAAATATATATCTGATGATCGCCCGAACTGTAAGAAGTTGTTTTTAAATGTATAAATTAAATGTGCATACTCGCATGCGCCCAAATTGAGATTACAATACGTCCACGAAGCACCAAAAACACTCTGATGCGCGCGGCGGTTTTGCGCTGCGGCGAAATTTTCGATTTAAACTATCGCATCACTTTTGCGCCGCTTAGCACTATAACGGTTAAATTAAATATTTAATTGATTTTTTATTTAACAAATCTTGACTTTTTTTCTTTACAAAAAAATTCAATTGGAACCCATTTTGATTGCTTGGGTTGCTTTATTTTGTTAGTTCTTTTGTTTTTAATTAATGCTTCAACAGTTCTGTAGTTCTCTATATTAACACTAATTTTTTCACAACAAAAGTAACCAGATGGGATAGGAATACTTTGCTCACAGAAAAGACTATTGAAAATTCTGCTAAATAATGTAATTAATATTTTTTTTTTTTTGAAATATTACTGTCAATTTATTATAGTGTCGGTCAAAAATAGATTTTAATAACAAGTTGGTTTTTATTTTAATTAATTAATTAATTAAAGTTTATTTCAACACACAATGTTTTAAAAACAATTTTATATTTTGCAAATGCAATTTTTTCCGTTTCACTTTGAAATAACAAATTTTTATTATTTTAAAATTTATCAATTTAATTAATTGAATATTTTTTAATTTAACAAATTAGACATGAAAATTTTGGAGTTTTTGAAATTTTTTCCCTACTGTAAGGTTAATTGTAATTAGAAAACTAAAATATTTTTAAAGTCATGAAAAGAATTTAAATTAATTATTATTTATATTGAAACATTTTCAAAAATTTCAAGTAAGAAATCTATGTATGCATATGTATGTATGCATACCTGCCCCGAGAGAGAGTGAATTACACAGAGTGAATCATAATTTGCGTTCACAGTAGTTAGAAAGGTGAATGCAATTAATTTAAATTTATAATAATAATGAGAATAATCAAATATTAAAATATTTTTCTTCATTATTTTTATACTTTCGTAAAATGATGTAGTCAATGAAAAACATTCTTTTGCACATAATAATAAAATTTATTATATAAGTATGAACGTTTGTTTTTTTTTACCTTGTACTTAATAAAATTCATTTATACATTATTTTCCTTTTTATCTCTTGTGTTTTTTTTTTTGATAAAAACAAACACATTCATTTATAAGTTCGTATATCTTCTTTTATTTATGCATATTTCACAATTATACGTAATAAATATACGGTAGTGTTAAGTTTTTGAAAACTCTTGTTAAAATTTATTACCTGTAATTTTTGAAATATTTAGGTATCTAAATTGGTAGATTTTCAAGTTTCTGTTATATTATACATTTTTCGTATAATGAAGAGAATTTTATTTTTATATTTGCTAGTAAGGTTTTTAATGGTATTCTTTTCGAGATTCGAAAGTAAAAAGGGAATAAATTGAATTTATTTTTATTACACTTTGTAATTTTTTTTTTTTGTTTTTGACGTTCATCCAATTTTTATAATATTGTGTTTTCTTTTTTATCTCTCTTTTTTTTCATTGGACTGTATATCAAATATATTACACGTCATACCCTATAAATATAAAAAAAAAGCAGTAATGACGATGATGATGTTGAAGAAATTTCATTTTTTCCATCAAGTAAATCAAAAAATTCCACAAAACAAGTTGAATTGAATACAGATACATTTAGTATACAAGAGATGACTATCGAATCTGATAATAATTCTGATGATAGTGGTTCACAAAATTTAGAATTATTACCGCCATTACAAAATAATAAATTTTTAGATAAATTGCTAAATTGTTTTTATTGCAATTGTTTTGAACAAAATAATGATTTACCTTAAATTTTAAAAATAATAATAATGAAAAAAAAAAACATGAAAATAAAAAAATTTATTTACTTTCATTTTTATTGTAAGAATTATTATACGTAGGTATTATACATATTATTTATATGTATGTATATCTACTTTCTTATACGCATTAAAAATATTATTATTATATAAATTACAAAATATGTAAGTATACATACTTATACTGTAACATATACATAAATTAAGTAAAAAGAAAAAAATTAAATAAATTTTACTGAAAATATATGAGAAAATAAAATACAAACTTACAAAATACATAAAACAAAAATGAAATATAATAAAAATATTACGTACATAATAAATATATATACATATAAATATAATAATGAAATAAATTAACACGGCGAATTAGTGTTGTATTAAAAAAAAAAAAAAACAAAAAAGAAAATTAAATAAATTTTTATAAAAATTTCAAAAATAGTGTAATTTATTTTCTTTGAAGCTTCCATTATTTATTACAATCTATCTTATTATCTTGGCGTTTATTCATTTCTTAAAATTTTTTGATATACCCATTCAAATAAATTTTTAATAATGATATAACCTTTTATATTAATGTAACAAGTGAAATACGTATCATATGCAAATATTATAATATACATACTTACATAAAAGATTTTCGAGAATTGGCGATCTAAAATGAATTTTTATGTAATATTTTAAAAGTAGCATTTTGTTAAAAAAAATGTCTAACAGAATCTATAATACAGGGGTGATATTTAATATTGAAAGTAAAATATAGAAACCAAAATAAAATTGAAAGCTATCGATTACGACTAACTGTTATAAAGAGTTTTTTTCAATTAACGGAATAAAATCTTTATACATATAATATAGAAACAGTGTACATGCAATAGATAGACTTTTCTTAATTTTAAAATTCATCGTAATTCGGCCACAGATTCGAAGTGATTTGTTGTACCCATCTGCATTTATAGCCATTTATAGAAGTAAATTTAAAAATAAAATTAAATTATTTTCAAGTTATTGGCGATATTCTAAAGTTCAAGTAACACACTAAACAATTAAAAATTACTTCTTTTTGAATGATGCTTTGTTAACATTATTCTTCCAATATGACAATGTATCCTCGCATTGCATATCGTTAGGGGCAGAAATAAATTAAATGAAGCTTTTATAAATAGTTGTCATATCAGAATTCTAATTTGGCTAGTTAAAATATAGAATTATATTTTCTTATTAGAATATATATTTATCTTAATAGCCTGGGAGAAAGTAAAAAAACCTGTTTTGTTTTAATAAACAAAATAATTTATTAATGTCGGCATATTGTAAAAATTTCAGGCTCATACAATCCATCTGCTAAAATGGAAATGGTTAAAAAATTTAAAATTAAATGAATTAAAATTAATGATTAATTTCAACACCAAGTTTTTCATTTAAGACAATGACAATTTTTTATTTAAGACAATATTCACAATGTTAACATAAAAAGGGAAGCATTTTCTTCTAGAGAAATGGTTTTTTTTCAAAAATCCTTTAATTTCTGTATAAAACTTGCAACTTTTTGTCATGATGTAAAATTTTTCTAAACAGACCAAAGTATTCATCGGGTGGTAGGTACTACTAAGTATATTTTTATTTCATTTTGCTGAAAGTGTGCTGAAAAACATATGTGATTGAAAAAAGAACAAAACACTTATTACATATTTTTATTAAAATTACATTTATTTTAAAAATTAAATACTTTTTTTTTTGTTTGTCATGAATTTTGCATCAAAGTGCATAATTTAAATTTTATTATTATTTATTTACAAATAAAAGAAAAAAAAAAATTGGAGTAAAAATTTGAAGCTATTAAATTTGATTAACTCACATATTTTCCATTTTCAAATTTATTACTTTTTCAAATTAACTATGTTTTAAAATTGCTCAAAAATAAAAGTAATTAGCAATCACAATTTCAGAAAATTTGTAATAGTACTGAAAAACTTACATAATTCAAATATAAAACCTTTAAAGGTTTATAGTTCCAATAATGGATAAAAATTAATTTGTTCCATTCTTATTTGTGAATTTTTAAGCTTTGTAATTAAAAATTTTCAAAAAAATATTTAAATTAATTAAATTTAATAGCAATATATTGTTGAATCCTATATAATGTTAAATATAATTTAAAAATCTTTTATATACCACCATTTAAGAGAACAAATATTTGATATATAGGAGAAAAAAATTTGACACATTCTTTTGCAGAGAGAGAGGTTTTGTTTTAATTTATACAATTTTAATGATTAAATTGAAATGAATGGTGTAATATTCGTTTCGTATAATCTAGAATTTGGCAATGAAGGAAAGTGCTTGAATAAAAAATTAAATTTATTATTAAGCTAGTCTCAGCTTTTGATTTTACAATATCCAAAACAATTTTAATAAATTCGAACAATTGTAGGTTTTCTAAAGAACAAATTAAATAAAGTAATCAGCAGTGTCGAAATTAATAAAAGAATTTTTATAATTTCTTCTTTTTTTTTGTAGAATATTAAAAATTTAAATATTTCAAATTATCAAATTTTATTCTATTTAACAGTAGTATATTAATTAAAATCTAACAAAATATTTTTTAATAAAATTTTTAAAAAAACAAATTTTTTTCTTTTTAAATAATTGAAATTTTGAATTTCTAGAGTATTATTTATTTTAGTTTAAATTTTTCTCATTTTAAATATTTTTCACTTGAATATTATTAAATATACGTACATTTATACATATATTATATTCTTAATATGTACATATACCCATGTTAATTTTGATTTTAATCAAAACAAAAAAAAAGGAAAATTAAGGAATATTTTTTTTATAACTATTTTTAGCAGTTTTAAATGATGGCATTAATTTTAATGGCCTTTTTCTAATAGTTTATTTATTAAATTTTTCTATTTATTTTTTGTTTTTCTGTATATAATATGTATGTATGTATGTACCTATATATATATATAGAGATTATAAAAATAGTTCTTTGTGAAGATTATATTAATTTATATTTGGTGTAAAAATTAAAAAAAAAAATTATTTGTAATGTTAACGATAATTTTAGAAAGAAATTATTTTTAATTTTTTTTTTTACTTTTCATTTTTTATTTTTTATATTTTAGCTCTACGGAAAAGTTCTATAATTAAAAATAAGGATTTAAATTGAAAGTATTTTTTTTTTTTATTTTTTTTTTTTTAATTTTTGTTTTTTTTTCTTGCTTTATATTTACTTTTAATTCAGAACACATTTAGTTTTTTGTATTATATAATTTTTTTTTATTATTTTTTAAATAAATAGGAACAAATAAAACAAACATCTACGTAATATTTATGAACTATCATTATTATTTATAAAATGTTATATAATTTCCTCTTTTTTTTTCTTCTTCAATACAATTTTCATCTTAAATTTATTTAAATGATTTTATTTATATTGTATTATGTATATATATATATTTTTATTTTTTAATTTTATAAGTATATGTTATTTGACTGATACACCTACTTATTCTTTAATAATAATATAATTAAAAAAAATAAAATTTTAATTTCGTTTTCAAGTGAAGTTGTTCGTTAAGAGAAATGAACGCAAAAAGGTAGTAATTATAAAAAAAAAAATTATTTTATTTTTATTTAATTGAAATTTTTAGAAATTCTAAAAATATTAAATCATTTATATTTATATTTTATATTAAATTTCTTGTAATTTTCTTGATATTTTTAAAATTTAAATTAAATAAATTATTTTAAAAAACAAATTATTTATAAAGAACTTTTTATATTGTATAATAGTTTCTTTTTTCTAAAAAATTTTTTTTCTCTATAATGTTCCGCCTCTAAATATTGTTTTTAAAATAATTAATTGAATTAAGGGTTTTTTTTTTGTTTTTGTTGATTATTACAAATTCGTTTAACTTAATTTTAAAGAAATTTCTATTTTTACAATAAAAATCGTCATAATTTTTTTATTTTCGAAAAGAACTAAATTTAAAATAGAGAAATAGAACAAAAAAAAAAAAACGAAAATAAATCGCTTTTTATAATTTTGTAATCATTTATTTTTTTTTTTTATTTTTATACAAAAAAAAAAATAAATTTTTTATTATTCTTAAAGCGCATTCGGATGTCCATTTAATTGACCAGCTAATGTACAAGATCTACAACAGAATTTACTATAATAACGATTAGAACAATAATTTCCTTTAACGATAAGAGCACAATTAGCAAAATATGGATTATCGACACAATCTGGATGAACATAAATAGTTGCTAAAAGAAAAAAAGAAAGAAAATATTTATGAAATACGTAATATTAAAATGAAATTTAAAAAATCAAATCTAAAATGAAAAATTACCGCTACAGGGTAACACATGAATAAAAATATCTTGAATGAATAATCTTCATTCAAGATATTTTTATACAAAATTAATGCAATGATGTTGCTTTGTTGAGTAATTTGCCAATTTTATTTAAGATAATGGTTTAAAAATAAACAAAAGTTTAGATAAAACAAAGGTGTCTTTAACATAATTACGGAGATGCTAATATATAGAAACACAAATAATTGATATTAAAATATTTGCTAACAGTGCTTAAATATAAATAATGAATTTTTCATTATGAACATAATTGTATATAGTGTTCAAGGCAAAAATGTGATGAATATAACACAGATTATAGGAATTTATAAATTTGACGAAAATTTCGAATTACAAATTTGGGACAAATCTTTAATTGAAATTGTTGCAGAAACTTTTTATCTTTTCACATTTGAGGTCACTCAAGACAGTTGTTTAGGTGAAATACAAAATCAAATAACTAAGCAAATATATATACATTTTTTTTTCTTAATTATAGTTAAATAAAATTTGTTACAAGGTACTTACATTCTACAGTTACAGTTTCTTCATTTCTATTATAACTGAATGAATTTCTAGCTTCACATGCATACCTTCCAGTATCATCTCTTTGTACATCAAAAATAACTAATCTATGAGGAATTTCTGTAAATGAAATATTTATGTTGAAAATAGTTTATTGTTATGCAAAAAATGATTAAAAATAGAATGAAAAAAAATAATCTTTACCTGTAATTTCATATTTACTTGATGGAGCTTCAATAGGAATACCATTCTTAAACCATGTTACATTTGGTGTTGGTACGCCATCTACATCACACAATAATACTATTTCTGACCCAGCAATATATGTATTAGATGGATCACGTCTTATAACAGCTGAAGCAGGTGCTATATTTGGAATAAAAATAAAATTTAATTGTATAAAAATAAAACATTTACTTTTTTCGATTGTCCGAAGGCAAATGCATTATGGAAAAATTTTTGAAATTCACATATTTGTGATTACATAAAACTTGTATGATCTCATACAAAATTTTCTCAGAATTAAAATTTGCTTAGAAATCAATAATATAAATTAAAAATTTTATTATTAATGATTAGCTTTATTGGTAATCGGAATTTGAAGTAAATAATTAAGACCATTTATTTGATTAAATTTGAACTTAATGAACAGTTACGAAATAGCTCTTTTAATATTCTAAAATTTAGACAGTCAAAATGAAAATAACGTTTTTTCAAACTGAAATTAAAATATCTAATGCAGACAACAAAATCCATCGCAGTGTATATTTTCTGAATAATGTTAAAAATTAACCTATTTTTAGTAGTTATAGCTTCAGATAAACACATAAAAAGACAGGGTTCCTTCCAAGATAATTTATTATACGTTTCCCCATGATGGACAAGTGCATTTCCGTCAAATACTTAAAATTTTTCGCTATCACATAATCTGCGCGATTAATTGCATTCGCCGAAATCGGTAATGACGAAAGAAATATATACAGTAAATTTTGCTTTTTAAAATTTGAGTATTTTCCAATCTTTTGTATTTCTACATTTTGTAGCAGCTTTTAGTTAAGGAACAGCGAGTTTATATATTTTAGATCCCAGTTGTATCTTTACAAATTAAATTATTTTATATTTAGATTTAAAATAAAATATTTAAAAAATATTAGGAATGAAAATTAATAGAAATGCATTGTTAATATTTTTAGAAAAAGAATAGGGAAAGTAATTACACACCATTTTCAACTCAGATAATATAAAATGCACATAATGTTAACAACTTACCTCGATGTGGTATTGGTTGTACAACAACTGGCAATCTTGTTGTTGAAGGACGATGCGGTCGATAAGGCCATTCAGGTTTTTCGGTTGGTGCGTGAGCGGGTTGAATTACATACCTTAAGAATTCTTCATCGTCCGGATCATCAGAATGTATTTGCGTTGTAGTTAGTAAAGTTTTTTCAATTGAAACAGGACGACCTCGACCATTCCATGCTTCACAAGTATAAACGCCTAAATCATGTAGTCCCACATTTCCAAATACTATAGCGTTATCTTCATCAACATTATAATGTGGACCATACCTTCCTAAACGCTCTTTTCCACGCCACCAATTAACGGTGGGATTTGGATAGCCGCCAGCTGGACAACGCAATTGTGCTGGCTGATTTAATTGAATATAAATAGTTTCATTTGTAGGTCCAGCAATATAAGCATCCGTTTCCCCAGGGCCTTAGGTTTGTTTTATCAAATTTATTTATTGATTTTGTTAGTAAAGAACAGAAGTTGGTAAGTATGATAGGAAAAAGTTGTAACAAAAGATATTACAAAAACCATATATTAGATATGTTAATCACCAATGTTTAAGAAAAGAAAGTGAGTCTGATATTTTTCACTCAAATTTTCAATACCTTCCAAAAAATATTTACCTTCAACTTCAAGATTAACCTCACGTTGGACAGGTTCACCCAAACCATTATCTGCAATACATACATATGTTCCACTATCTGATCTATGCACCTGGACTATTGTTAGATCTCCATTCGATGTAAGAATAAACCTTCCTTGGTTTGTGTTAATCTAATTGCACAATTTTAAAATAAATTTTCATTGAAATTTAAAAAATTTATTTATCTTACGGTAACTGTTCCGAAATTCCAAGTAATAGTTGGAGCTGGATATCCAGTTGCGAAGCATCGTAAAATAGCTACCCCGCCTGCTGGGGTAGAAACGTCAAGCTCATGCTGCGGTTTAGGTACGAGATGAGCTGGCCTATCTCCCGGATAGATCACTGGTGGTGGATGCGTAGGTGGCTCATGATACGGTTCCTCAGGTACAGCAGGAAGTACACATCTTGTTCCACATCCATCTTGACAACATTTATATTCGCCGCGACATTCAGCATCAGTATAGCATTCTCGGTCACATCTTGTATTGTCTCCTGAAAGAGCCGGACATTCACCTGGTTTATTTTCTTGTCTACAAACTGGGACAAAGTCTTGTCCTGCGACATCAATTGCACATCTTGAGCCTTCTTCACATTCATAATTATCGCAAGGGTTTTCACAATCGCAACGTTCACAAAGCGAGGATTGGTCATAAAATCTTCTGACCCCATAGGGGCATCGCAGTGTTCGGCAATGTTCTATATCTTGGTCACAACGTGTGTCAACTGCATTATCTTCTTCTGGTGCCGGCGCTTCCTCTGGTACTAAAAGTGTAATTATTTTATTTAGCTTAAAATAAAAATTGTGATATGAAAATGGTATTTTTTTAGATTAATCTTAAAAATAAAATTGTTGAATCAAATATGCAAGCAAATAACTATAAAGTGTACAATACTATATAAATATTCTACATAGATAAAATTTCATCTAAACTAATGTGCAATAATATAAGAGCTGGTGCAGAAGTGAATATAATTGAAATATTGTGAAAATTGGTGCCCAAAATATTAAAGAACTACTACAAGTCTTACTAATGCAAGTTTCTACACAAGATTCATAAGAAACAAAATTATTTTGATTTCCAGCACATCCGGAATAAATAAACATTACACATGATCCACGTGAGTCATCATAGAACCAACGACGAGTTTCTTGACCACTACCAGTACAATTCCCAACATTTGCAGGTAAGAAACATACAGCTATGTATTTATTTTTTTTAAATATAATTAAGTGTTTCGTTTAATATGTTTATAAATTCACTTATTTTCTGATATGACAGTTTTACCTCTATCATTCTGTTTTGTTGGCTCTAGCCGTTCAATGCAAACAGATTCACATTCTTCTATATTCATAAACCTATTTCCAGATCCTTCACATCCACCATATGAAAATGGCTCACATCTACGTTGGACAAAGTTATAGTAATACCTAGTTTGATATTGGTCGCAAGGACCTGGGTCTGGATGTTCTTTACAAACATCTAATTAAATTTAATAGTTTATTCATTTGATGTCGCAATATGGTTAATTTTAATTAATATACAAATGTTTTTATGAGATAACTTTTTTATGTTGCAGATGTGCATACATAAATAAAATGTATACAATGCGCATAAATTCTTAATAAATTATTAATTTTTTTAACATAATGGTTATTTTAACATACATACCTATTCCTCTATATGGTCCACATTGTCGCTCACATTGCTCATGTGTCTCAAATCGGTTTCTATTTCCATCACACCCGGTGAAATAGAAAGCTTCACATCTTTGTGCTTGAGAATTATAGTAATATGATAAAATTTGATCTTGACAATTTCCAGCATCCACTGGCTCATTACAATAATCCGTTCGTTCAGGCTGTTCCTAATTTAATTTTTACCATCAATTGTATAAATGTAATAATACACACACATAATACTCTAATTTCCAATACCCACCTCTGGAGACTCAGGCTGGCGTTCGGGTTGTTCCACTTGTCTGTCACAATAATCTATACACTGCTGTTCACTCTCGAAATTATTTCTATTTCCTACACATCCACTATATTCAAACTCATGACATTTTCTAGCTCTTTCATCATAATACCAACGCGTTATATTTTCCGCGCAACGTCCATAAACAGGTGGCAAGGAGCATAAGTTTTGTATGTTTCCGCATAACTCTTCACAATCTCTTTCATTTTCAAAGTTGTTACTATTTCCATCACAACCACCATATGCAAAAACATCACAGAGACCCTCATGACTGTTATAGTAGAACTTAGTTGTATAATTTTGACATGGTCCGGAATCAGGCTCCAGGAAACAAGCATGTGTATCTCGACGTTCAGGTTCAGGTTCCTCTACTCTTCTGGAATCTGGTGCAGCTTGTGGAATACGATCTTCTGGTTGTCGTTCAGGTTCAGGGGTGATACAACGGCTGGTACAGTCTATTTCCTCAGCAAAATTATTTCCATTACCACCACAACCTCCCCAATAAAATTGACGACAACGTTGATCTTTAATATCGTAATACCAACGTGCGACATAATTTTGACATTCACCAACTTCTGCTGGTATTTCGCATACGTCTTTCGCTACATATTAAAAATAAGTTCTTTCTTTAAAAAGTGGTGATATGAATTATCTTTCCAAAAAAGTAATGAATGTACAAAAATATGACAGATAATGATTTCTTTTTTATTCACCATCGAACACTGAAAGCTTCCTAATTCAACAAAAATTATAATAAAATATTCTCACCCACGGGTTTAGGACATCTTTCTTCGCATTCTTGTAATGTTCGGAAGTTATTCTTATTACCACCACAACCAGTATAATAGAAAGGCATGCATTTATTATCAGATTCAGAATAATGCCAACGTGCATGGCGCTCGCCACATTCACCTTCTTCTTTTGGAAGTTTACAAAGTTCTAGTGTGGTTTAATTTATTTTAAATGTTTGTGTTTTGTGCGAATTACAATTTAAGTGTTAGATAGTTTTAAAATGCATAGAAAGAGAGAAGCAGGAAAATTTAAAAGGCTTGTTAGTAAAATATCTTAAATTGTTCCAAACCGCTAATCTTATTTTAATACAGTAACCAATCAACTACACACAAATGTCAAAATTATGAAATTATTAAATATCAAACCTTTATGAACTCCTGGTTGCCTACAATGATAAACGCAAGCGTGCTCCGTAGCATAATTGTTCTTATTTCCTTGACATCCACCATATTGGAATGGTCTACAAACATCAGTTTCATTATCGTAATACCACCTTTCAAAGTTACCATCACAAGGCCCTTTATCCACTGGCTGTTCGCAAGGAGCTAAGGAAGAGTTAACCTTTTTAATAAAAATCTTAAAGTATATAAAAATATGTGTTTACGTATAGTATCATCGACGGCGCAAGTGCTTTGGCATTCTTCCAATGTTTCAAAACGGTTTGTATTACCAAAGCAGCCACCATATGTAAATTCTTGGCATTGTGATCTGTCCGCATCATAGTACCACATTTTTTGGTATCCAGGACATGGACCGGGACTTCTCGGTAGGAGACATGATTCCTTACCTTTATATTCCTCACAAGTCGCTTTACATTGCTCTGCACTTTCAAAGTTGTTACCGTTACCCTCGCAACCACCATACCAAAATCGCGCACATGCTCCATATGCATTGTCAAAGAAGTGCCGTATTGTGAAATTATTGCAAGGACCAGTTTCTTTTGGTAAAGCACATGCTTTTTGAGGAGCTTCTGGTATGCTTTCACAACCTTCAAATTTAGATCCTTCAGCAGCAGTAACTCCGTCGGGACAGCATCCAAATTTACTTTCGGCACAAGTACATCCTTCTTGATTCAATCCTTTAGCTGGAGTTTTTTCATCGGGACAGCATTGGAATTCAGTCTGTGAACAATGACAGCCATAATGGTGAGGTCCTTGTGGAATTGTAATTCCATCTGGGCAACATCCAAATTGCATTGTATGACATGGACAGCCTTCCAATTTAGGCCCAGTGGCTGCAGTTAATTTATCTGGACAGCAACCAAATTCAGTAAATTGACATCCACATCCTTCATTATCATAACCTCGAGCGGGAGTTGTCTTATCTGGACAGCATCCAAATGGAGAGTATTCACAATCACAGCCTTCATTATCTGGTCCTCGTGCAGGATTAATATTGTCTGGGCAACAACCATGCAGTGAATCCAAACAATTGCAACCTTCACCATATGGACCATGAGCTGGAGTATTTCCATCAGGACAGCAACCAAAAGGTTCGCTGGCACAAGGGCTACACCCTTGTCCACTTGGACCACTAGCTGGTGTTCTACGATCGGGACAGCAACCATGTTCGGATTTGCTGCAATCGTCTTCTCGTCCTGGCTCTTCTGCTTCACATCCTTTGAAATTTTCGCCTTGAGCTTCTGTTTGCCCGTCAGGACAGCAACCATATTTCGTGGATGAGCAAGATGTCGGTTGCTCTTCTTCACTTTTAATTGTTGTTTCCTCTGGTGGTAAGGTTGTAGGTGCCATTGTAGTTGTTGGTTCAGGGCAACCTTCATTATCTTCTCCTTCAGCGGGTGTGTACTTATCTGGACAACAACCAAACAGTGTCTCAGCGCACTGCGATTTGGGACATCCTTTATTGTTCGTTCCCTTGGCGGAAGAAACTCCATCCGGGCAACATCCGAATTTTGTTTCAGCGCAAGTTTCTGCGATAGGACACCCTTCATCAAACGGACCTTTTGCGATCGTCGTATTATCCGGACAGCATCCAAATTCAGATGTTTTGCAGTCTTTCTTTTTCCTCGGCTTACATTTCCTGGGTTTATGTTCTCTCGTAATGGCCATTTCGAAAGTATTAGGTGTTGTTCTTTCCTCATCTTCATCAGTAACTTCTGACATCGTGGATGACCATATATCAACTGTAGTTTCATCTGTTTCACCTGTTGATGTTGAAGACTCCACTGTTGACTGAGTTGACCCAGGCTCTTCAGTTGTATCGCCACTAATAGTGCTTTCATCAATAGAAGACGCAGTGCTTTCTGGAAGTTCTGAACTACCGGAAACTGTACTTTCTGGCATATCGGTACTTCCTGGCGATAGCGTGCTTTCTGGAGACGATGTACTTTCAGTAGATTTAGGTTCTTCGGTAGATTCAGGCGAAAAGGTGCTTTCTGGCGACGACGTACTTTCAGGGGAAATTGTGCTTTCTGGCGTCTCTGTACTTTCTGGCGTCTCTGTACTTTCTGGAGATGATGTGCTTTCAGGAGATATTGTACTTTGGGGTTCGCCAGTTGTTTGATCTGTTGTATCAGTTTCATCTGTCTCTCCAGAGGCTGTAGTTCCGTCTGTGTCTTTGGAACTTCCAGTTGTGCTTCCGGATTCTTCAGTACTGCCTGGTTCCACAGTAGATCCAGGCTCCGTAGTTGATCCTGCAATAGTGCTCTCAGTTGATACCGGACTTCCTGGCTCCTCCGTACTTCCGGTTTCTTTGGTGTCTGATGTGGAACTCGATTGTTCTGTGGTTTCACTGGTAACAGACACGCTTGATTGTGTAGTACTGCATGGGACGTCATCTTCACATTCTTCCTCCGGAGTTGTACCAACGCTTATATCAGACGAAGTTGTTACGTCGCTCGAGGTTGTATCACTGGAAAGTGGTGACACAGTTGAAGCGCTACTATCAGTTGTTATTTCTGTGGTTAATTCACTGGTTGTTTCGGAAGAACTCAAGTCACTTGAGGTGGTAACATCGATTTCGCTAACTGTGGAATCACTTGCGGAAGCTGTAGTATGACTTTCTTTTGGATCAATCGTGAAGTCATCATCTGGAAGAGGACCGTCATCTTCCGTTGTTCCCAAAAGTTCAGTTGAAGCTGACGATTCAGTTGAATCAGACGATCCTGTTTCTGTTGTAGCTGAATCAGTTGGTCCCGATGATCCTGTAGTATCGGATATATCTGTAGCACCAGATTCTGTTGATACACCGGAAACTTCGGTCACTTCTGATGGAGAAACTTCTGATGAAACATCTGTTTCGGAAGAAGCATCAGTTGCAGCTGAACTGTCAGTTGAAGCCGGACTGTCAGTTGAACCTGAAGCATCAGTTGAAGCAGGGGTGTCAGTTTGAGCTGAGCTATCTGTCGAATCCGAACTATCAGTTGAATCCGAACTCTCAGTTGCATCTGATTCTGAAATAGATGTCGCGTCAGTTGAAGCAGGTATGTCAGTAGAGCCAGAAACCTCGGTTGTTTGTGCAGTCAAATCAGATGTTTCTTCAGTTGTTTGATCCTCGTCACCGCTACCTTCAGTGGTGCTTATGTCTACTGTTGTTTCGCCTGATCCTTCTATAGTACTTAGATCCTCTGTTGTTTCAGGTTGTTCCGTAGACTCGGTTTCTTCTGATTCACCTGTTGACTCTGTTTCAAAACCAGTAGCATCACTCATCATCAAGTCATCAGTCATTAAAGAAGTTTCTGTTGTGGTGTCTTTATCCAGATCAATTCCTTCAGAAACCTTAAGTTCAGGTTTTTTATCTAATTCTGCGTCTAGATCAAGTTCGTCAGTGTATTCATCGTAGTCGCACTCCTCTTCCTCTTCATCACTAATCGTAGTTGATGTAGAGTCAACCGGTATAACTTCATCCTCTTCACAAGCTTGAGTATTGCAATCTTCTTCTGAGAATTCTATTAACTCTTCAGCGCAATTTAAAGAAATTTCACCATTTTCCAAGCATATTACTTCTCGTTCCCTTCGGCCACCACCGCAAGGCTTTGTACAACTTTGCCATGGACCAGTGAACCATTGAGCAGCACATTTTTCTTCTGGAATCTCGCAATCCTGTTTGTTTTCTGGTTTCAAATCTTCACTGCATTTCGAATCATCTGGAGCAGGTGTAACGCTTTTTCCGTCGAATTCGCCACATATAACAACTCTTGACTGAGTTCCATTTCCGCATAAGGTAGAGCATTTACTCCATTCGGACGTATACCATTGATAAGCACATTTCTTAACTTTTTCACATTCTCGTTGCGTTTCAGGTTTTTCCGATGGGCAAAATTTTTCATCATATTCCTTTCCTTTTTTATTGGTACATTTTATAGTTCTAGTTTCCTCAGTTTGCCCACATTCGGTGCACTAAAATATGAGAAAGTTTAATAGGCGCGTTTGGAAGTTTAGTAAGTAAAACCTACTCCGCTCCATGGGGAGGTTATCCAATCAACGCCTTCACATGGTTGTATAATACAAATTTGCTCTTCTTCCGGTTTTTCTTCGTTACATTCTGATTCTGGTAATACTTTTTTCTTTCCATTTTCTTCTTTGTAACAAGTGACTTTTCTGGTTTGCTTTCCTTCACCACACAGTTTATCGCACTTTAAAAAAATTATGTTATAATTATATTAGAAACAAAAGAAAATAATCAAGACATACGGGTTTCCAAGGTCCAAGATGGAACTTAGGGCAATTTTTCGTATCTCGATTGCACTCTTGTTTATCAGCGGGCTTATTTCCAGATGTTTCCAAACAAATAGAATCTTCAACTTTTTCAGCGACTCTGCAATGAATAAGACAAATGTACTAAAACTAAGCCGCTTAAATAGTTAAGTGATTAAAGTTTTATTTTTTTTAACATATTAATATTTCCTTAATGAACAACAGAATATTCAGATTCTTTTGCAGATCTTAAGTTTTACGGATATACGTATTATAGTTAGCTTTGTTTTGGTAATATCGCCAAATTAGAATTTAGTTTTGTCAATTGGGTTCCTTCGGATGCCAATTTTTGTGATTACTTATATCTCTACTTATATCAAAACTTACCCGTCTGCTGAAATTCTCTCACAATGAACACTTCTATTTTGCATACCATCTTGACCACATGGTTTAGAGCATTTTCCCCATTCACTTTCTACCCATCTTGGAAGACAAGCATCTGTACCACACTGCTGTGTATCAGCAGGGCGCGCTGACTGGTCGCACAAACTATCGTCAACTCTATCTAATGTTGTACGACTGTTGCAATAAATTTCGCGGCTTTGATAACCACCGCCACACGAAGCAGAACATGGCCCAAAACCAGTATGTGTCCATTGATATGTATCTAGATTAGTTTTTACAGAGTTTTCGGGAACACTGTATTCATATTTGATACCGACATTACGATCTTGATACAATAGAACAACTACGATTGCTTCTGTAGTTGGACCCATTGACGTCAAATGATCTGGTGCGGCAAATCCTTGTGGCTTTCTATCATAATGCCACCATGAACCAGCAAATAGCATAGGTCTTGGGAAATCTATACGCCAATTTCCATTTAAGTAATAATGACCAGATTTATTTCTACATGCTAAGTAATTATTTGACGGCTCGATTTCTCTAACATCAATATTTGTAGCTCCAGCAGGTATCACAAAAATATCATTATAGCCTAAAAACAAATTTAAATTTTATATTACACAAAATTATATTTAATATATTACTTTAATGAAAAAATAAATAAAACTTTCACTTACCAACTTGTAAGTTATTTGTGTCAACAGTTCCATTTATAGTTTGACATGATGTTCCGTCACCCGCGCATTTACGGCATTTATCTTCACGAGCTTCAGATCCTAACATCATATCGCAACCTACTGGTTGACATTTGCCGTCAACGCAAACGTCTAAGGATTCATCATTGCAACGTGTTCCATCTATAACTTTCGCCTTGTGTCTGTAATAGAAACGTTCTCCACGAGGCATGCAATTTAATTCACATGGGTTTGGAGCTTTTGTATATGGTATCCATTCATATCGCGATCCCTCAAATGGCACTGAATCAAACCTCGAACATTGTTGTGATCGAAAATCGGGCTCATCTTCTGGACAATCCTAAAAATGTTTTAAAATAAATTTTAAAATTTTTTTGATTAAATTAACAATTTTGAGCATTATTATTTTGTTTTCAGTTATTATAAGGGCTTATGTAACCTTAACTGCTTTTTTAATGAAGTAGTTTTTCTTTGTATAAAATTTCAATTCTCTAACCATCATATATAATTTCTGAGATTGGTCTTATAATATAATTAATTTAAAAATTTTATGCACTAACCTGTAGGAAATATTTGTGAAAATTTGATGAATTATTAGTGCTAATTTTTAATCTATTATACTTACTTAATGGACTTAATGATTCAGAGATGCATATATGAAAGTAACGAATCATATTTTTATATTGATTTTGAATGTACATACAGTAACACCCGCGTCTCAGAAAGCTGCAAAAAAAAAAGCAACTTTGCAGGCTTTTTACAAAGTTTAGCAGGACGACATATGACAGTAACAAAGTAAATATACATTTCTTTCAAAAAGCACCTGTATTACTTGTGTCTGAAATTTTTTTGTTTGTGTTGTGAATTTGAAAATAAAAATGTACTATAAATTTGACCTTGGAATTTCTTTTATCCACGTGTAACTGTATATTATGTTAAAATTAATAGACTGATTTACGAATTCAATGTATAATTTTTGCTGACTACTCGTATATGTTGCAGAAAAAAAAATCTTTCTTGATGATTTTGGAAAATAGTTTTCTAGTTTTTCAAAAATTCTTTGATCTATTTCCGTTTTATTTCGTTTTTTCTAATACTTTTCTTTTATTATTTTTATTATTTAAAAAAAAAAAATTACTATAGTCTCCACCTAGCTATAATCTTTTTTTTTACATGTTCATTGAATATAAAAAAAAATCTTATTTTGTTTACATAACTTTTATGTAAATGCCTTTAAAAAAAATTTTTTTTTCTATCAAATTGGAAAAATATGCGAATTCATAATTAACTTAAACTTTATTTTTTAGTTTTAAATCAAAAAGTAATTTGATTTTTGTATTGCAGGAAATGACTTATAGTTATAAAGCAAATAAAATTTTAAAATAAACAAAGTATTTAGAAAACATAAAATGTGTTTGAAAAATATTCGAAGCATTTAGAAACAGAAAAATCCTACTTACTTGGGTATTACATGAAAAGAACTTTTTATCACCGCCCTTACATTCCGGTTCACCACTATACCTGTTTCGTAAAAATTAAATAATAAATTACATAATAATGAATTTAAAATTAGAGAATATAAAAAAATTTAAAAAAATTTAAGCTTTTTTGACTTCAATTGTGAAGATATACGGCTAGTGTTTAACTACTACGTTGTATTCAGTGGCCATTATAACAGCATTTTATTATAATGTGATAAAATATTGAACTCTTGACTTTGTTGTATTACGGTATATCGGCACAATTAAAAAGTCAGGGCTTTTATGTATAAAATTTATATGAATAAACTATATTCATATACTTATGTAGATAATATTATAAATTAGAGCACAAAATGTTATGTTATAAATAGTAAGCTAAAGTTTAATATAGTGTAAATTATTTTTTTATTACCCAACTTGCAAGCATTCTCTAGTTTGATATGAAACACCTCCACCACATGATCTTGAACATTCTGATGGTGAGCTCCAATCTGTCCATTCGCTGGGATCACCTTCACCATCTGGTATTACATAGCTTTGTGATAAATATAAATTAGCTCCATGTTGTCTTTTATGCCGTGTCCCATGCTAAAAATTAATGGTTTTATTTTATTATTACCTTAGTTTCTGTACGCATATAAAGTGCAAGCAAATATAAGTGTAATGTAAAGCTGATATTTTATTGGAAAACAACAAACAAATATTTATATCCAAAATTTTTTTTTCGCATCAATTTCTAGTATTGTGTCAATTTATGTTTAATGTTACACCTAGGCTTTCTTGAAGGCGACCGAAAATCTTAAATATAACTAAAATTTTAGTAATTATAAAGTATATTCACGTGGTATATCAAGAGAAAAAACTTAATATTTTCGAAAAGTTGGTTCTAAAGTTTTAGAATTAATTAATAAAAAAAGTAAGAAATGTCACTTCATTTCTTCAAAGATTGCAGCAACGCGCAACTGTTTAACTGGTTTTTAATGAAAAAATTTTGAACCGAAATTTGTTAAAATTATACTATCGTATTTCGTTAACAAGTTTATTACCTTCTTTTACAAACTTAACGACTTTAATTCAAATTTTCATTGATTTTTAATTTTAATTGCCTGTTTTTAAAAAATTTTTAAATTTTTCTTAATAAATTTTACCTTGTATAATGCAAGTTATAACAGCAAAAATGTATATATACTTACATATCTAGAATGTGATGAATGAATAAATACTGTAATAAATAAACATATTAAGGCGGTGGTTCTGTAACGAAAACAAATAAACAGAAAATAAAATTAAATAAAGTAATTTAAAAAATAATTAAATTATTAAAAAATCAAAAAAAAAAAAATTGATTGTGGAAAACGAATTCAATAAAGTGTTGGTTCATGAAATTTGATCCTATATTTGTAGGGAAACTTTCAGGACTCGAAACCCTAATGGAAAATCAGTGAATAAGCAATATTAAATGATTTAAGCCAATTAAAAATTATTTCATTCCTGAACTTTAATGTTCAAATTAGACAATTAGGCAAGTACAACAAGAGGCAAGTACAATTTAGAGAATACTATATTATTTACACAATTAGCTTGTTTTGGAGAAAAAGCACTGATTTGCAGTACAGGAATTTGTTTTCTACTATGAGTCTTCTCTTGGTATTTAATATTTCACAGCCTATGTAGGGAAAAATTCGGTACAAATGAAAGAAAAAGAGGAACATAAAATTCCAACTATACGTTACTACTCTTGCAAATGAAAATTTTATTTAATAACCTTTCAGCTTTGGAATTATGACTTTTCATTAAGTAATTTAGTACAGTATATATGTATGTGCAATGTTTCCACTTTAAATTTTTTTTAAATATTACCTTAGTAATTAGATTACAATTAATTCAATTTAAAGAAAAAGTTAATAAAGTATTTCGATCATTACAACAAAGTTTGTCGAATTTAGGAAAGGAACTCTAAATTATGATTAAATTTTCTTTTTACTTTTTTTTTTTTTTTCTAAAAATATTAAAAGGACCTTTTAAAAATTATTGTTATTGCGTATTAAGAAAATTTCTAACACTTAAAAAAAGTTTTTCTCCTTTCTTTTTTTATTATTATCATTATTCGGATTTTTATTTTTGGTAAACATGTGAAAACAATAATCATGTTTCATTTCCTAAAATTTCACATGAGTCCTTTAAAGTATGGGAAGAAAAAAAAAAAAATGGAAATATAAAGTAGAAAAAAAAATTAGTTTTCAAAGAAAAAGTTTTAGAAATCTTTAATAATAATAATAAAAAATCAGAAATAAAAAAAAAAAAAAAAAGAATTATTTTCATGTTTCCAAATCATTGGACCTGCCCAAAAATTCTGAAAATATACTACATACTATGAACATACCAAAAGGATATTCAGTCATTTTGATAAAGTAATTTTAACTTTTTCTATAGAAAGCTAAATTTAAAAAAAGAAAAAAATGGAATGAGAAAAAAGAAAAATCCCCAAGATATATCGTAAATTTAATTTTCCGGACTATTAATTTCTTTTTTCTTTCATTCTAAATGTATTTTACGTACAAACGATTGTTTGTCTTTATATTGTTACTTATTACTCTTAAATATTGGGGCTACCAACTTTAACTTTAAATTAAAATTTCTCAATTCGATTTTCTTAAGGCTTCTTTTCTTTAGTGTACTTTAGTTAGATATTTTATGTGAACGATTTCCTTCATATTTAATATTTTCAATAAATTGATAATTTTTGAAAAACATTAGTGATAAATTTGCCTGTCAGTACTGTGCTTCGAATATTAACATGTATGTTGTGTAATTTTTAACATCTAAATATAAAATTAAATCATTATTGCTAGTGTCAGTATTATTCATAAACAAAAATATCTCCACTCAACGAACATCAGACTTATTCAATATCTCAATAAAGTATAGAGTAGAAATTTTATACTATACATAAAAATATTCATTTTTACGAAGCACATACTTAATAGATTACTGTTCAACACTAATATTTCCATTATTATCATCTACGTTATTCCAAATAATTGCTTTTTGATAAACTTACTTATTATTCCCGATCATTATTAATATGGAATATATTAATTGGAATTTAATTAAAATTTTGAAATTTTAAATCGTAAAATCAAAATAATAGTGACCAATATGTGTAACACATTGAATGACATTATTTTAAACTTTTTTTCCTAAATGTCAAAGGATGTAAATTATGAAATTGTAATTTGTAAAAAGATGGAAAATCATAAAAAACAAAGCAAGTAGCAATTTGTAATTAAAAATATTTATGTGATTATAAATTCAAAATTTTTAAATTAAATGTGTATAATTTTCATATTATTGGCATTTTGATTACTCCACGTATTTTGATTTTAAAATACCACATTTCATTTGCACACGTAATCAGGGTTTATGATATAATGGAATAAAAATAATACATATTATGTATTTTATTTTCTGAAATAGAAAAATTTGTTTAATTTATTATAAAAATTAAACTAAAATGAATTCATTTAAACCTTCATCTACGTACGTCATATTAAATATTTTGTAACTAAATTTCTTGGTAAATTTTTAACTTATCTCTTTAACACTCTTTTATGATTATGCTTTTAATATGCTTCTTATAGACCCCGGTAAGCTAGACTCTTTTAAACCTTTAAGGTTTTTAAAACATTTTCTTTATTCCGTTAAAATATAACAATTTCATATAGAAAATTTTTTTCTCTATTTTATTCACTTATATTTTGCCATAATTGGATACCTTAATTCCCAAAAAAAATTATATGTACATCCATATTCAAAACTCTAACTATTACCGAATATTACAAATATAAATATGGGTAAAATGAAAAAAAAAATTAATAAAATAAAAAGACTAAAATAAAGAAAATTAAAATCAATAAATTTATAATAAAACAAATTGATAATGTTAGAGGGGATATAAATTTAATGTTGATGAAAAATATTTATCTGGTACTAGGCGACAAAATGTCTCCTCGTTTTGTTGCAAATACAAAACCCAAAAAAAAAGGAAAACAAAAAACACAAAATAAAATAAAACAAAATAAAAAAAAATAAAAACAAAAATGTGGAAAATGAAATTTTCTTCCTCTATTGAAAAAAAAAAGAGAAAAATTAAAATAAAAAATTTATTTTTCCTCTATTTTTCATTTTTAAGTTTTTCACATTTGTTTATTTTTTTTTCTCTTTTTTTTTTGTTCATTTCAATGTATTGACCACCTGTAAAACCGGGGAAAAAACCAAACTAAATGGTTTGGCACATTTCCAAAAAAAAAGAACAAAACAAAAAATTAAAAACCAAAAAAAAAAAACAAAATAGAAAAATTGTAATTTTCATTGAAAATTTACTTTGCAATTTTTTTTTTTTGTTTATTTTTTTTTTACTTTATTGTTGTTTTTTCAGGATAAATTTCATAAAATATTTAGGAAATATTAAAAAAACAAATACAAAAAATATACAATTATTATAATATTAAGTGTTATATGACTAACTTTTTTACGTGCCCACGTAATCGAGAACTCGAGAGTATGCAAATTATTGATTTTTTTTTGTTTTGTTTCAAAAACAACCATTGCAGCTCGTAATAGCTACGAGTATACCCTTATTTTATTTTGAATATTTTAATTTTTAATATAAAAACAAAATATTTACGTGTCCAAAATCTAATAATAAAAATTTTTATTTAATAATAAAATAATTTATTGATATTTTTCCCTATATGAAGATAATTTTAATCGTATTTAAAAAAAAAAAATTACCAATTTTTTACAAATCATCGAATTCGGAAGTTAATTATTTTAAATGTTATAAATGAAAAAACAAGCAAACAAAACAAGCGAATAAAAAATTTTTGCGGTTATGTATAGAATTTCTGTAATATTATATTTTAATATTTAATTATACAGAAATATGTAATTAAAATTTAATTTTTGTAAATAAAAATAAAAAAATTTAAATCAAATTAGTATTCGATTGCAAACTATTCATTTGATTCCAAACTGTTTTGGGACTTTTAGAAATTATAGAATTTTAAGTACTTTTAAAAATTTAGTATTACAAAGTATTTTGAGTAAATATTAAAAATAGATATGGTTTTTGTAATAGTAATAGAATATTATTATTTATAGGATATAGAATGTGATTGTTATGAAGGTATCCTTAACAGTAAATCATTAAAATACAAGAATTTTATTTAAGTTTTTATTCTTTAATAACTTTCTTATGATTCACCTAATTTTTATAATCAATGTACATATTGTATGGTTAGATAACAAGAGAATTCTTTTGAAAAATTATGTTGAGTTCTCATGCTATAACACCTTCTCACGCTTTATACCATCATCTTATTAGATGACATAACACTTTCAATATTTTACTATAATTGCTAAAAAACAATAAAATGTGAACACCAAACTTCGCAACAACTGTATAGTAAACAATCAATCTAAATAAAACTAAATTAGATAACATTTTGTAAATAGAATGAAACGAAAATTATAGCAAAATATTTCATACAGCGTTTATTTCATGTAAAGAAAAATTCTAAAAAATATTTAACGTTTTAATATCATTTTAAATTACATTTTTTATAATATATATAAAATAGTAATTATATATAAAATGGTGTATGAATCTAAGTAAGTAAAGGTATGGAATCTATGCAATATATTATGAAGATAATGGGCTTAGTTTAATATCAGAACGAGATTTTTTTAGTAAAATAAGTCTTTAATATCATAAGACTTTATATATAGATTGCAAGGTATAAGCCCTATTACTTACAGTGCATTATTAAATTTTTTTTGGAAGTTCTACAAGAGCTACTCGAATTGCGCTCATCGATTGATTTCAAATGAAATAAAACTCATGCCGTAACTATAGGTACGAACCATATTTCATTTAAAAACTCACATTATATATTAAATACATAATATTCAGTTTGAATATTATGCTTTCGAATCCATTTACACACATCAATTAACATAATTTCAAAACTTATTAATTATTAGTATTTCATGCACATACACTACATATATATAAATATAAAATATATTAATATATATATATAAACATATATTTAATAATTTGTATTGGATTAGAGATAAAAATAAAGTGATTTAATATTAAAGAGAATACAGATACATAAATTTTTGTTTTTTAGTTTTTATGAGGTTCCGATAATAAATGATGTCACTGTTTGTGTTTCTCATGATT